CCGGGGCTACCAACGAGCATCTTCGCATCATGCTGGATGACGAGGAGGATTTCCGTTTGCTGCATGGCCAGCAGGGGCTCCTGGTACTCGGCGCGCCGCTCGGCCACGAAACCTACATCCGCGAGCGACTCCGCCTCAAGCGCGCCTGGCTGCTGCTTCATTTCTGCGCGGTGCCCCGCGCTAACTTCCTCCTCCGGGCCCTCCCGCCCCACCTCACGGAAGGGTTCGCGCGTGACCACGATGATGCCATTGCACATTGCCTTGCAGAGCTCCTCCAACTCGATGCCGACCAGCTGCCCGAACACAGTCTTCGGACGGCGGGGCTTGCCTGGCGGTGTGGTGGACTCGGCCTGCGTTCTGCATGTGCTGATCGTCCCGCTGCGCACTGGGCTTCCTGGTGTGACACCTTTCCTGTCATCCAGGCTCGGGCACCCGGGACTGCTGAACGCTTGCTCAGTGCCCTCGATGGCAGAATCCCCCTGCCCTCTACCGCCGCTGCTAACAGCGCGCGGGAGTGCCTTTGCGACCTTGGTTTCGCCGCGCCTGTGTGGCCGGCAATCCTTGACCCCCGACGTGGCGCAGGCAGCCCGGTGGTCGCCAAAGGGGGTCCGGCCTACCCCCACAGCGGCAGGACCGCGGAGCGAGTGGGAGGGCCAGGCGCAGCCGCCGGAGTAGAAGGACACGGAACTGGGCACTGGGTATGCGCACGGCCTCGTGGGTGGGCGAAACGGTGAAGGCGCGAGCAGAGTGAGGCCCTGCTTGCGAGAGCGCAGTGCGCGGGACGCAGGTGGAAGGTCAGAAAGGTGCGTCTCACACGCGCGCTCATCGCACGCACGGGCGGCTCGCCGCTGCCAGCCCCGCAAGGCATCGCCAGCATCATCCCTTCCCTCTCGTGCTGGGGGAGCGGCCGCGATGTCCTCGCCGCGCGCGCCGCGCCGCTGGAACGAGCGGTCGCGCGCGTCTGCCGTGAGGGTGGCGCTCGCGTCGCGAGGAATGTGCGTGTCGCGGACATGAACATTGATGTGCCCGTCGCCGATGACCGGCGGATTGAAGTGGTCGCCAACGGGCTCCCCCTGTGGCACGGTGCGCAACTCGCCCTCGATGCCACCTCGTGTCGCCGCTGACGCGTGCAGGGGAACCCCACCCAGGGCTGACGTCGAGCCTGGCCACTGCATCGCCGCGGCAGCGAGGCGCAAGAGGCCCTACACTCCCCGGCATCATTGAAGGGCTGCTGAATAAAGCTGGCGAGGAAAAAAATAAAGCTGGCTCCCAGCTACAGCAGGAAGATAGTCTCCTGTCCTGCTTGCGCCTGTCGCAGGCTCCACCCCATCCTTGCGTCGGGCTCGCGCAATGTTTCGTGCAAAGCAAGGCGGTCGAGGCCGGCGCGGCGGGCCATCTCGCCGACCTCCCCATCGCCGCCCAGTTCCCAACTGCGCACGACCTCCGTGGCCGCTGCTGTGGTGTCCTGCGCGGGACTCTTGCCCCGGATTGGTGGCGCCTGTACGCACATGAGGATGAGCACAATCGCCTCGCGCGTCACAATCCCCAGTAGTTTTTTTCGCTTTCGCTTTTCGCTTTCGCCCGTTCGGGTCCACGTGAAACATTACAAGCGTCAGACTGTTCCTGCTGCTAGTGGACCACGGTCCTATAAGGACATGGGGAATGGGGGCGTGCTTGAGTGTTGGCACGATTCGGTCTATACATTCGCAAACCTTTGTACGTACTGGCTTGCAGCGGGCGGCCAATTTGCTGTTTCAGCAATATCAGTCCACGTCTTCACCGTTGGAAAATTACAGGCTGCAAAACTGCGGAGTCGATCATCCCACTTCGTTAGCGGGCGACCGGGTCGACGATGTAGTTGTAAAGCAAAATTTGCTTGCCAGTTGCTTTTTGGACACCATTTGACAACAGCCGCGGCCCAATTGGGAATTCGCAACATTTGGAAAGCGAAGTTGTACTGACGTCGTGCAAGCTGGCGAGACCAGGTGTCCACAGGGTGTATGTGTAACGCTGCAGTCAGTCTGTGTTTCCAATCTTCGTTTGCAACTCGCACCCAGCCAACCACAGAGCGAAGCATTCGTCGTTGCAATGCATCCAGTGCATGAATTTGTGACAGAGTCAACGGCAATACGTGTAATCCAAACAATACGTGAAATCCAAACAGAACGGTTGGAGTCAACACTGTATCGAAAATTTCAATCTCAACGCGATGGACACATGTTTGTTTGTAAGAATATGACGGTGTTTGCGAAACTTTGCCCATCCCACTTGGAACCTATGTTTGACTTTTGTTTGACTGCGGCATCGAGGATTTGCACTGATATGTCGTCCGACGATGTCGTCGCTAACATTGATGTACATGGGTCCGTTTATGTGGGCTGTAGTAATAATTCGGCTTTTTGATGCATTCAAATGCAATCCGATTTTTCCAAGTTCTTGTACGAGGCATTCGATCATATATGCAAGCTCCTGCCAAGATTTTGCGTAAATCATGATGTCGTCAGCGTATCGGCTGTTTGTGAATCGTTCGACTGCCGCAACGTCACGACCATGCTCCATCAGTCGTTGTTTCCACTGTCGGAAAGCGTGCTCCAAGCCAGCGTTGAACCCAGTAGCACGCCCGCCAAACAACCAGCCCCAGCATGCCGGCAACGGCGCGAACCTGGACACGTGGTAAGGCGACTCAAAAAGTATGGGGGGGCTCGAGCCTAAGCGCCAACTCTTGAGCCAAAATTGCTACGCAACATGTCTCCAACACTGCAAGTTTCAGGGTCGAAAAAGGTCTCGAAAACCTGAAAACCCAAGAAAACCTTCCATCCCGGTCAAGCTGAGCCTTGAGCACATCAACTGCCTCACATCAACCCAAACCTGCGTGATTCTAAGAGAACATCATGGTTTATACTTTGCAACAAGCAAAGGCTTCCTTGCGGAGTGTGCTGCGCAGGGACAGTACTCATTGCAACTTCGTGCCCCGTGCCTGCCACGCGGCCCTGTTGTCGATCTGACCCGCCATCGAAGTTTGGGGGCCGGTGGAGTGCCGAAGCTGCTTCATTTGTGAGACAGCTCGCGCTGCCGAGCTCGCGCGGCCCCACCCGCGCGGCCCCACCCGCCTTTAGGGCCGCATACCTCCGCTTTTGCGCTTGGTCGGCCCTCCTCGCCTTCGCTGAAGAAGCCTTCGCTGCCAATTTGCTCTCCATGCACGTTCCCGGCATGGAGAGGCTCCCTTGCGCAGCGACTTCCTCGCCGACTCCTCCGAGGCCCCCGCGCTCGCCAGCCGCGTGCCCCAACCACCACGCCTGCGCAGGGGTTGCCACGCTGCTGGGGAAAAATCTTGAGCTGAGCGCAGCAGCGCACGCCAGCGTCCACGCTGCTGGGCGGTATTTGGCGTGCGCCGGCGCAGCCGGGCTGCGATGGGCAGCCGACACTGAGCGAAGTTGCCGAGCTTGCCGAGCTGGCGCGAACTTTTTTGCTGCCGTTGAGCGCCATGTATTGTAGCCCCGCCCCTACCCCACTCTTGTGTAGATTTATCCCGTGCAAGCTTCGTACAGAGGACCATGCGCTCAATCATCACATAAACAATATCACATACCAATATACCAATCCAACCCGAATCCAACCCTGTCATGCGAGCCCAAATGGACGGGGAGGCGGTGCGAAAACGCCGCAAAGCATAGGGTTGCGGACTCTCTAACCCCTGCCTTCTAATTTATTCGTCCTCCACCCCATCCAACTCACGAAGGGGGACACAGTTCGTTTTTCTTCTTCTCCTCGCCCGGTCTGCTCCTAGAGGCTCCTTGCCAACGCCAGAGACTCCCTGGAGTGCCCAACTCAGAGACGGCTGGTGCCCAACCCCAGCGTCTCCTGGGAGTGCCCAAGAGCCCAAAGACTCCATGAAATGCCCGGAACTCACCAAAGTGCCCAACCCCAGGAGACTCCCTGAAATGCCAACCCCAGAGACTCCCTGGAGTGCCCAACCTCCCGAAGGTGGGGACGTTCGAAGAAAAATGGTTTGTCTTTCCTCGCGCCCTCATCCCGGTCCCAGCGCCAGCCCACTTTCGAGGCGCGCAGCCCGGCCGCATCCCGCCGCATGTTTGAGAAAAACTCTAGCAGAACCAACCCGCGACCACAACCCCCAAAAACCGAAAGAGCCCGCAGAACCTCCCCCGAAGACCGACCCCCAAAGCAGCATGGACCAATCCCAGGCTCAAGGCTCTGCGAATGGCCCGTGCTCAATCACAGGCGGGCAGGCGCCGGAACACTACTCTGGTATTTTCGCGCAAGCGAGCAAACCGTTAGAGCCTGGTGCGGCGCTCGTGCCGCCACCTAAGCGCACCTGGCATTATTTTGGCGTGACTGGCTCCGATGCGCCGCAAGCAGCACAGCGGACGATGTCCAAGCAAGCAGAAGCCACCTGTACGCATGAAGGCAACCCCTCAACGGCACAGGGAAGCAGAGCTTTACGACGATGTCCAAACATGCGGTATCGTGAAGGCGCTTGAACGGTACATTGGTCAGCGGCACGTTTATTATAAATGTGAGGAAACGATAAGAACGCCCGTGTTGACATCGCATGCTTTGGGTTTATTTGTAAACGTTTGGCCGCTGGCGGTTACTGTGCACGAGGGTGTACATAGTGCTAGGGGATACTGCGTCAGCCTGCCAATGGCACTATGGCACCTTGGATGCTTTGGAAAGATAGAGAAGTAGAGGCAAGCATCGCTGCATTGAATGTTGGTGAGGTCACCACAATTGCAAAGATAGGGGTTTGAAAAGCAGCCAAGGTGCACCCCTTGCATCGGCTACTGCCGTGGAACTTGTGAGATCTGCTCCAACCCGCTCTGCCGCCTCTACAGGTGGCGTGTTCCCTTTTTTTGTTGGATTAACGGGGCCCGGGGACGCCGCATCTGAAACAATGAAAAAAACAATGAACCACAGGTAAGTCTGGTCTTGGACCCCAAGCCCCTGTACTCCAAGCTCCCGTAGTTTTCAAGCTGAGGTGGATGAGATGTGAGCCGCCCTTTGTGGATGAGTTGGAAGACGACAACCCGCTCGGTTCGCGTGAAGCTCTGCTGTACTCTATGGCGGCTTGTGCCCGGCTTTGTTATGGAGCTGGTTTCGTCGACCGGGAGGATTGGGGCAAAGCTGACCCGCCCCTCAATGGAGAAGGTTGGCGCGTGGTGGAGCAGATTTGCGAATCCATGAACCTGGTTTGCGTTTTGTTATCTTGTGCTGCTCACCTGTCATAGTAATTGCATGCTGCTGTCCGATCCCTACACAATTAAAGCCCAGGAATCTGGACAACCGTGTCCAAGCTGCCTGCTATGTGCCGCAGAACCCCCAGCTCAGCGGCATAGGTATTGTTGCCATCCGGGGGACAGTTTCATTTCGCGGAGTGCTTCAAGACATCGCAGTGGGCACACCGTTTATGCGGAGGGCCATCAGGCACGCGATAAGGGAAGCGTGCAGCTTCTACTTGAAGTGCGAAGCCAGATTTCCGAAGCTTCAGCTTTACATCACTGGGCATTCGCTGGGCGGCTTTATCGCCCAGGACAGGTGCGTGCATGCTTCGCTATTGAATAGATAATTAAGAATTTCAGCACAGCTTGTGCCCTCCCGTGTCGTTCTGAGTGCAGGCAACGGCAACCTATGTTGATGCCCCAGGCGCGCATCCTCAAACGAATGGTTTTTTGGTGAGGCTTTCGTTGTACTTTGCTTTACCCAGATCGGAGTTTTTGAGCCTAAAACACCCTGCGCCCTCTAGCCCCTTATAACCCCTTACATGAAGACCCCGGTCGACCATAACCTGCCCCCCCAAGGCTGCTATAAGCTCTGTGTTAAAGCTTAGTATCATCTGGAAAGAGCATGTCACATTACATATATATATATATATGTATATATATATATATATTATGTCGATGTATATGTATAGATACATATACAAATATACAAAAAAAGTACTGTATTGTAGTAAGCCCTCGTCAGGTGCGGTCTTCAACTGCCCAGGGCCAGTAGCCGTGACGCCTTGGAAGGTGTTGGTCGGCCCACACCGCCCCAACTTCGAGGTGAGTCGGGTTTCGGGTGTAGGGTTTAGGGTTCAGGGTTTAGGGTTTAGGGCTCAGGGATGTTCAGGGTTTAGGGCGCTATCACCTACTTTACAAGCCCGAAGCCTCAAACATCTTTACATGGGGACTACTTGGAGGACTCGGAGTGAATCACTCGTGGGATCTCGTGCGTGCATACCACATATAGGCGGGGATGTTGTAGGGATGTTGTCAAAGCCTGCTTGGTGGTGGCTTTCTTTCTTGAGGGTCTTGGGTTTAAGGCTGGGTTTCGATCTCCCCCCCTCCCCTTCGAGCTACGTGGGAGCTTAAGCTGCAAAAGATCCAGATGGTGCCTCTCAGATTTGCTGTAGGTATGGCTTCCTGAGGAGCTATCTCACCTCCGTGGCGTTACCAAGCCTGAATGCAAGTTCCTGCACCTTTCAGTCCCTGTTAGGTGCACCTCACTCGGGATGACCCGCTGGCCTTCGCAGTGTTCCCAAAGCCGGAAAACTTCCACCACATTGCTTGGCCCCAGTGGCACCCTGGATCAAATCACAAAATCTGCGAGCCGTACATGAAGGCCATCGAAGACATGGAAGGAGTGGGTTCCTTGCACGGGCGCCTGCGGAACAAGACGCGATGTTCCTAAACCCTCAAGTGTATATACAGCATAAATATTAATGTCAGCCATGTTGTATGTACGCATGTATGCATGCATGTATGCATGTATGCATGTATGCATTCATGTTTGTATGTATGCATGTACGTAGGTATGTATGTATGTATGTATGTATGTATGTATGCATGTACGTATGTATGTATGTATGTATGTATGTATGTATGTATGTATGTATGTATGTATGTAGAATATGAATTTAAGACATGTTGCACGGATTTCTAGATCCATATGATGAAAAATCGCCCATTGTAGAATGTATCAAAGATCAATTCCATACAATGCCACGCCCCAGCTTCCTCTTAGCAAAGTTTGCTTCAGTGTGCGTTTTCTGGCACGACTGTCCGGGGACTGGGAACCTGGCACACTGAAGATCTCGGGCTTCGGGAGACGGGCTTCGGGTGGTCTTGCAACTTCTGTTAGACATGGGTCTGCTCGGGTTATAGAACTTTGAGGCCTTAAGATTGAAGCAACAAGGAGTCCATCCAAACAAGATCCCCTTGGACACGCGCTCGGCTGTGGACCAGGCCGAGGGCTTTGCTGCCATGCTGTTCGGGGAGCGGAGTTGAAACTCACGCCGCGTGCATGGCGCGTTCGTGATCCCGAATCACCCTGACACAATTACGGCTTGGCTTCGAGGTCGAGAGCTTGGAGCTGAACTACCCGTTGCCGCAGGTGACGATTGCGAGCGGGGGGGTTAAGGCATGTTAAGGCGGTGAAGGCGACCGCGGACACGGAGTGTAGAAAGTCAGTGAATTTGACTCACGGGGGCTCAGAGCCCATCAGCTCAGCCTCGTACATGAGACCCCTAAGAGGGTAACACCGGTTACAAGGGCTCCCATTGTTCACCGCGGTGTCTCGGCAGGAAATGATGGAGAACCTCTTGGATTCCGAGTCCGACTCCGAGTCCGACAGTGAGAGAGCCCTGGCAGAAGTTGGGTCCGAGCTGTTCTCAGTCTAACTCCGTTATGCTGTGACGCTTTAAATGTGGAGGGCGGCCAAGCAAGGGCGACTCTTGAAACCTACGACCCTGCCCCTCCGCTTGACCGAGGCCAGCTTGCTGCATGTCACCTGTGCAAACGGGGCTGCAAGGCGGCTGTGTGCGCCTGACGCTGCGCGTGAAACGGGGCTACGAATTTTGGGCCACAGTTTGCGACTCAGCTTTTGAAGAATTCAGACGCCGAGGCTGCTGGGCTGCTGGACCATTTGGAATTTCGGATGGGACTTCATACACGCGCGTATCGAATTTTTCATGCCGTACCACAGTTTTCTTTGCAACCTGGGCAGTGGAATCCTGCTGTGTTTTCATCTCGTCCCATCCTGCCCGTGGTGGCCTTTGATTGATGCTGGACACTCACAATCATTAACGCTTATGCAGATTTGAGCTCGGTGTGGAGGCAGCCTTTAGCTGCAACATGCTGACAAGAAAAGCAGCTCGCCGTGCCCGAGCAAAACTGCTCACGGGTCAGTTTTTTGAAGACTATAGGATCGGCATGGGGTATTCAAGGGCATCATTCAGAGAATCCTACAAAGGCCCGGAACCAGGGCCACGAGAATCATGTCCAGCGATTGACCCGACACATCTGATAAACCCGGAGAATCCGGACCAATGGTTTCTGCTAGCGAACTCTGCGCGAAACGGGTGAGGAGCTTGTGAGGTGTGCGACCCACTTCCCCTCCCGGAACTTTCAGGGTTTGGCATCTGGGGTCTGACCTTGACCTCCTGGCCTGCCATGTGCTGAAGATCTGACTGAAAGTAGGGTTACGGGGAGGTGCTTACTGTAGGTTGTCCTGGCTTCCTGGCTTGGCTATGCTGGATCTCGGCTTGAAAGTGCAAAAACGGAAGCTAGACCGAATTCAGGATGTCTGGGCGAGCGGCGCCCAATTTTCTTCTGTTCTTCGATGTGGAATGAGTCCCGCTTTAGTCTTAACATTGCATCGGGCACGGAAGTGTTATGGCCGCCAGAGATATCTGCATCAATGGCTTCGTCGTTCATGGACGTGCTAGTAGACTCTAGTAGACCACGTTGATATTCATGCAGGGACGTCCAGGCCATGATCTCAAAGCACCCCATCCTTGGCACTCCACTCGACACCTGAAACCTGGCCCTAGAAATGCCGTGACCTTACGCTGCCTCGTTGGCTCAGCAGCGTGGGACGGCAAACAGTCCAGTCTTCGCCATGTTTCCAGGAGGCTGGGGATTTCGTGCTCGAGCAAAAGAGGTTATCTAGCCTTGGGTTTGAGATGTCTGGAGCAGCTGTAGGCTTCGGCAGTCCTGCAGAGTGAATACCGCTGCAACAGGAGGGCCACAACGTCCGGGGGGATTCCCCGGAATGACAGGCCACCAAGCGCGGGTTTACGGCAGGGTTTCGTGGGGCTTCAGGCTCCAACCCATTCAGGGGAAAGGAAGGGAGCAGGGTGTTAGGTTTTGCCGTCTCGTTGTCCCACTGTCAAAGGCAGACATGGTGCTGTAGCACCGCGTGCCCCGTCCATTCTGCCTGTGCGCGATACTTCATCCTTGCTAAACCCTAGACCTAGATGCGAATTCCCCAAATTACAACGAGAGCCCCAAAACTCATCTGGAAGGCATGCCGTCGAGTATGCCCGGGATGATGCCGACTGCCCCTATGATGGGCGGCATGCGGCCAATGATGCCCGGGATGATGCCAATGATGCCCGGCATGATGCCTGGCATGATGCCTATGATGCCGGGCATGATGGGGATGCCGGGCATGATGCCCAACGCGCCGTCCGAGCCTCACTCAATGCGTGCTCAGACACACACACAGCTAGAATGCACAGCGGCGGACAGCCTGACTGAGCCCGAAACCCGCACAGTACCGGCAAGTCGGGTGTCGAAATGTCAAGGCTGCAGTCGACTGATGTGAGATCAGGCCACCGACGCCATCAAAGGCCAAAGTCGAGGAGGTGAAGAAGGACTCCCAAACCCTAACTCCTATAAACCCTACACCTTTTGGGATTTGGGGTTCGGAGTCACGTGTTCAAATTTCGCGAAGACTGCGGCCGAGACGGAGCGACAACGAAGGCTGCATGTTGGAAACGCTACGTAAACCGCACAGCCGTGAGGATTTCCTGAACTTGAAGTTCGGTGTTTGGGGCTCAGCGTTCCTGCACATGCACGCCAATAACATTCTACCAGTAGCGTCCCCCATTCATGGTCCTTGATGGTCTGCTAACCGAACTGAGGACAGAGAGCCGCCAATTGATCAAGATGTGAAGGCCCGAAAGAACAGCTCCGCTGCTTTTTCCCGAGCCGGTCCCTCCCCCCTATGAAGGCGTTCATGGACAAGCACAAGATTGATGATAAGGCCCTTCTGAAGCGTCTCAATGAGGACGGCCCCAGCACAGTACTGCAAACACGGCCGACGGGCGCGCGGGGGTCCATGGGCTTCAGTTCGGGTGTGCGAGTTCAGGATAGGGTTCACCGTCTGTGGGAAGTGTGAGTGCGATGCCTTGCCCGTGCCTCGTGCAGAGGCCACACCAAAGCTCGGGCTGCCAAAGGCCTTTCTGGTCCCCCAGTCCTAACCGCACACCCCCCCCCAGGGCCCCTACATAGTGAAATTCTAAGCCTTTCAAATCTCCGGCAAAAATTTGAGAACCCTTGTAAAGTGATCAGGAGATCATGAAGAAGCGGGACACGAAAGAAAGCGTGCTCTTGAAACTGGACGAGCTGCGCCGCCCCCGGCTCCGGATGTTGGAGGTTTCAATCCCGTGAGAAGGCCCCCCCCAGCAAAGGGTGATGGGATGAAAGCTGCAGGTTGGAAGACATGGGAGATCCCAAAGGCTACCTCGAGATGAAGCTGGAGGCCGGAGTGACGAAATCACGGGGCTCAAAGCGAACGGCGGCCTTTCCGAATTAAAAGGCCTTTGCCTTGCTTTGGGACCGCTTACCGTTTGCGCAGCTCAGCCTCATCTGGCCCTGAAGCCCCCGTGGCTAATTCTGTTGTCGAGCAGCTCCGGTTGGTTTTGCATGGGACACTCTGATGGGATAGGAAACAGGCAGTGGATGGAGGAGACGTCGCCATGGGCTCAACGCCAATGCACAACTACAAGAGAACTCTGCCTGCCTAGGGTCGCTAATTCATGCTATCTCAGGGTACATGGTCCCTCAATATGTGCCCTTACGTGGGGATCCTTTATATACCCCTTATCGATACCCAATAAACCCAAGGGCCCATACTACAGAACCCTTTAAAGAAGGTAAAGGACCACATGAAGCGACCACACAAGTACCCGTGGATACTACACTATTGATATTCGTTTCTCCTCAGTGCGCGCAATGGGTCTCTGCGTATCGAAGCCGAAGCGTTGGAAGTGGGTGGCGTCGGAAGCTCTCGCCGCCGACCTCCCGGAAGGCATCATCCGCCTAAACGCAGAAAGCCCGCCACAGCAGTTGGAACGGGTCAAGCACATCCTTACAAGCGCATTCCTCGGCTCCACAGAGAAGTTCGGCGAGCTGGGCATGGAATGGATGCACGAGAAATGGCTCCGGCCTGACGAGGACGACGAGCTGTGGAGCGGCCCGCTCCGCCAGGACCCGGGTGAAAAAGCGGTCCAGGCGTGGGGATGGTGCGTGGAGTTCTGCATGCAAGTGGCACTTCGGAAGGGCGCGTTGGTCGTGGCGAGTATGGATGAAGAGACCAACCAGATCGCGGCGGCAGCCGTCGCGTTTCCCCCGAATGACGAGCACATGCACGACCCAGGCTTTTGCCTGACCCTCTCCATCGTAAACCAGATTGGCTACCCCCCCGCGTGCATGAAGGAGTCTTGGTACAAAGCGCGCACCGACGCATGTATGGCAGCCATGAAACGGGCCCACAACGAGAATGCGTCCGGTCCGCACTGGTACCTGCAGTTCGTGGGTGTCGCAGCGGATATCCAAGGCCGCGGCCACGGCAAAAAGTTGCTGCTGCTGATGAATAGTCTCGCCGACGCGGACAACGTGCCAGCCTACCTGGAAGCCTCGGGCGAGCGCAACGAGGGTTTGTACCAGCACTTCGGTTACGTGGCGAGGAACCGCTATGTGATTTCGGGCAAGAAGATCGAGCGGCCCATGGACCTCAACGGCGGGGTGATGGCCATGGTGCGCGAGCCGAACGCAGGTACTCGGAACTAGGGGCCTAACTGCGAATAACGCGGTTGTCTTGCGAGGGGAGACGTCAGGCCGTCATCACAGTGCGTTGGGTGTTGTGGGCCATGCGGGCCGTAGAGCCAGGCCATTGCGACATCCTCCCTTTGCTGCTGCTTGTGGCAAAGTCTCATGTGTTTATGTTGCTCTTGCTGCTGCAGCTCGAGGGCCTTCTATGTTGAGGCAAAGAGCAAGGGTGAGGCAAGAACCACGCGCGAAGTCAGACACAGTGTGATGCTATGCCCGTCAAAACGAGCAAACTAAGTCATGTCAAGGCCGCTAGTTTAGTTGCTCGACGTGTCTTGAACTTCTTGTTCCCCCAACAATGACTTTGTCAGCTGCTCAGAACTGCGAATTCGGTTGCTTCTGCAGCACCTGATGGTTTTTGCAGAGGCAAGCAACCATGAGTACTCCACGCAGCCCAGCAGCAAAAGGATCCCCAACTTCATGTTGATTAACTAGTTAGTTAGAATACTTCCCCTATGAAGAACTGGCCAGTGGTAGCTAAATGGGGAGAGGGGGGGGGGACCATCATTGCAGCACAGGAGATCGAGAGCGGCGAGTTCCGAGGAAAGACTTTGGAGGTGCCAGAGGCAGAGTGCCCCTGGCTGCTGTCATGCATCCTTGTGAGAGCTTCAGGCGTTTTGTAGCTCTGGTGGTTTCAAGTCCTGTCTTTGTCCGTGAGGGCTTCGGGAGATTTGCGGAGGTTTACAGGGCAAAGACTGAGGTTAAAGCTTCCAACTACCCATATCATGTGCTTTATGCCTGTGTTCCCCTCGTAGCTATGTTGCACACCAGCTTTGGCCCTGGCCCAAAGACGCCGCAAGATTAGGTCGCACACCTTCTTACGACAGGTCAAAAGCAAAAAACCGATACTGTGAACAGCTCACTAACCATTCCGTACCCTTCCACTCTCCAAACTTCTCGGAGGTGGAAGCGCTCTCCATCGAGTGGAACTTGACACACGCCAGCGCCCCACACCATCGGCGTGGGGTCCAGACAGTGCGAAAAAGGGGTGCTAACGTCAAGAGTGAGAGGGGCTAGGTCGGCTGGGGTGCACGCGCTCGCTTGCTCTACGAGCCAGCAGTTATTGAAGTTATTGGTCTAGGCCTAGGGTGTGGGAGCGTCTTGCTTTCGGATGCTTCTGTGCGGCCCCTCGTTTCTTCCAAGCAAAGGGCATATCCTACCAGATGTCCTGAAACAGTTACTTACTTAATGACTTTGCTTTACTTTCCTTTGCTTTACTTTATTTTACTTGTACTTTTACCTTTACCTTCGCTTTGCTTTACTTTACTTTTACTTTACGTAGCTTTGCTTTACTGGCGAAGACTTTGCCAGACTGCCTAGGAGGCCAAGTGCAAGCTGAACGAGGCGGGGGGATGAGTTGATTAGGGTTTAATTAGGGTTTGGGGTTTAGGGTTTCGGCTGGTCCTCAAGCCCCGTTGCAAAAGGGTTTAGGTTTTGGGGTTGACGGTTTAGGGTTTACGCTTTACGGGTGCGGGCGACCCGCGGAACAAATCGTTGGTATCCGCTCTCTGCCTATGTCTGTTCAGTGCCCGAAGCTTCCCGCCTGAGGGAGTCGTAGTACCGCATCCCCTCTACCCCCCCACTCCCTCCCCCCTTTCATGCTTGAGCTGCTTGGCTGCCAGATGGTCTCGAACAGAGGCACGAAGAAGGGTGCGACCCCCAGTGATGTAAACGCCAAGCGCTACCCGAGTCTGAGGCGCACGAGGGGTCTCAAGATGCTGAGTGCTGAGGCCAAGACATCGTGCGGTTAGAGAAGATCTTGGAGCACACGCAGAGCAAATCCGACACAGCTCCCGGCTCGGAACGGGGGCGAAAGCTTCAGCCCAATACCCAGGCTACCATAAACCCAAACCTGAAAACACATCCTCCCAGACTGAACAGCAGGGCTTGCTGAACCCTAAACCTGTCACCCACGAGCCCAATCCCCATTCCGGGACTTTTCGGATTGATCAGTTCAGGGCCAGGGCTTCTAAGGTCTTGCAGGGTTTTTTTTTTCCCCTCTCTGCCATGCTTGCGGATTTAAGACTTTTCATAGTGCTTGGGATTTTGGGGCTGAGGCCGTAAACCTGGCTCAGCAGATCCTGGAGGCTTTTTCCTGCACCATGCTTTCGCTTGCTTTGACTTGTGTTCCCCCAAAACGGTTCGGTCTAGGGTGTAGCCACAGTGCTGCGCGCGCACGCGGGTGTGTGTGTGTGTGTGTGTGTGTGTGTGTGTGTGTGTGTGTGTCTGTGTGTGTGGGTGGGTGTGTGTGTGTGTGTGTGTGTGTGTCTGTGTCTGTGTCTGTGTCTGTGTCTGTGTCTGTGTCTCTGTCTCTGTCTCTGTCTCTGTCTCTGTCTCTGTCTCTGTCTGTGTCTGTGTCTGTGTCTGTGCGTATGTGTGTATGTGTGTATGTGTGTATGTGTGTATGTGCGTGAATGTGTGAATGTGTGTGAATGTGTGTATGTGTAGATGTGTGTATGTGTGGGTGGGGGGGGGAGGCCGTTACCAAAGTCACTTGCAGGTGTGCCAAGTCGTATACGCAGCAGGGGGGCAGGGGCTCCAGTGACAGAGCGTTGCCCAACGAAGCCAAGTCAATGGAGCGGATGCAATGGCTGATCACCATTGCGTGCCTGCATTTTTAAGATGACCGTGTGTGTGATCTGCTTAGGCCTTTTGCAAAGTTCTTTTTTTGAAAAAAACTACATCTTACTTATGAAGGGTGTCATGATGGCACACCGTGCTCTTCCACTCTGAAAGAGAACAACACCGAGCATCAGATGGAGGATTTCGCGTGTGCGAGTGCGTGCGAGTGCGTGCGAGTGCGTGGGTGCGAGTGCGCGCAAGCGAGTGCGAGGGCGAATGCGAGTGCGGAGTGCGCGTGTGCACGTGTCCGCGTGTGCGCGTGTGCGTGTGTGCGCGTGTGCGCGTGATCGTGTGCGATCGTGTGCGTTCGTGTGCGCGTGTGCGAGCGCATCGGCGTGTGCAACTTGCCCGGCTGGCAGCTCAGATGAAAAATTTTTGTGGGCCCCATGATTTACCCCCCACCCCCAAGTTGACTGAGGCACAAGTAGGTGATTCTTGAGTCTTGAGGCCCTTGCAGGTTCAGAGCCTGTAGCCGAAGTTCCTTTCAGCTCCTGACTTCGTTCCTAAATGCCAATCGCCCCGAGAGCTTTCAACCTTGAAAATATCCGCAGCGCCATGTTTAGGGTTTGTAATCCTAGGTAGGATAATCGGATAAGGGGACCCTTAAAAGGGGAACCCTTAAAAAGGGAACCCTTCTTGAGCCTCTTCTGGCACTCTTCAACCGGGACCCCATTCGCAAGGGTCCCGCTAATCTTATAACGGGGGTTTCGACCTCCGCCTGCCCGGAAGGGAAAGCTCGAGGACCTGCCCGACATGGGCGAGGTGCGGGTGGATGTGGGATCCAGCTAAGTGTTTAAGTACGATTCTTTCTGGTTTCGACTGCTTGCAGTTGTGTGACTTGACTGAACCCTCAACCCTAAACTAAACCCTTATTACTGTTACAAACGAGATCGAGGAGGTCACCTTCTGACGTGTACCGTGCAGCAAAGAAGTACTAGGAACCTCGGCCCCCAAAAAAGGACGCGCCCAAAATGCCGACAAAAAGGCCTTTGCTGTAGTCAGGGGTTGTCGTCCAGGCATCTTCTCACACCCATGTTCTGTGGGCGTCGGGAGTTTTTCTGGGTAGGGCTTAGGCCAGAGGTCCAGGCCGGATAGAAAGGATCGAGGTTGCAGGTTTCCAGCCGAGACTGAATACGGAATCAGGGAAACCGTGTGCATGATGTCCGCAGTACACGATAACAGTTCCACGTACTTCTGCTTCAATCTGCTTCACCCTGCCAGACACATGTGCAAAGTGTAGACACTTCCCGTAGACAAGTCAGGCGAAGACACAAGCGGGCAAGCGAAGGTACTTCCTGCAGACAGCTCCCGCGAAGACACGCCGTGTCGCGAAAGCACGTTGACAAGCAACGACATCTCCCGAAGACAGGTAAGGCGAATCTCCCGTCAAGGATACAATGCTTACCATCCCGACCCTCGGCAAGTAAGCACGCAATGACCATGCGAGCTGTTTGTCGTAAAGTTTCTTCTGACTAAGCCGCCTTTTTGAAGGCCGAAGACGTCATGAAGAAGTTTAAGCTCGATGATGAGGCCCGACGCAAGCTTGCAGGCGCCTCAGGAGCTCAACCTATTTTAAGATGTTCCTCGTTTGGGCTTACACGGGAACGCACAGCCACACATTGTTTCAAGGGTGTTTACAGGCCAGCCCAGTGTGGCTGTTCTGTACTGTTGCATTACAAAAAAAGGTAGGTGTTTTGTGATTTGCTGTTAGGGCCTGGGATTTCCGGGAGACCCGTATTCAACGCGGAACTTGCGTTCCTAGAGTTGGGTCTTCGGATCACCGGGTCCGAGGGGTGCCGAGGCAGATGGCAGACTCTTTTGAGTGCTTTAGAGCGGGCCACGGCCCTCTCGGAATTTGAGCCCGTGCTTCTGGCCTTCCGTTGTGTTATTAGCGCGCCCACCGAATCTTCGCGTTGTTCTGGGCAAGCCTCAACAACAGTGTCACAGAAAAATGTTGGGAAGCCTCCCTACTAAGTTGAGCGCGACATTTAAGCCAATCATTCTGCACGCAAGGGCAGGCCATGGTCTGTGACGCCACCCAAATGAACGTAATTACACTCTTTAAGAACAGAATTGAGGTTCAGATCGTGCTGCAGCGCGCCGACGACAGCTCCCGTGTGCTGGGGCGACTGGAGGCCATACCCTCTGACATCCCACCCCCACCTAAACTGAGGACAGCAAACACAACCCTTAACTGCTAAAATGCTAAAAGCCCTTAAAACCTTAGTGACAGATCGGTTGGGTTCATGGCATTGGGGCCATCTTCGGGAGCCAACGCGCCCGTTGCGCACCCACGTACGGGCGCAAGCTCATCGAGACTGCACCCCGTCTGCCGGACTGTAGCAGATGTGTTGGTACGTTGCCCTCGTAAAGGCAAGGTGCGTGCTGCACCGGGAGACTCAGTTTTGAGGTGAGTCTCGCCGGAATCGCACGGAGCACCCTAAGAAACCAGCACTGCTTCTGCAGCTTGCCTCAGCAGAGCTTTCAGCCAGCTTCGTTTACAGCTTTGACCTGGTACAAGTTCATGTTGCAGACCCTAGCAGCTAGCCAAAACCCTAAGCCCCTTAGACCCCATGTCCTCGGAGCGGTTCGTCCAGCTACGCGGGTGCCAAAAAACCCCAAATCCTTCGTCCAAAAGCCAACCGCAAGCTTTTTGTTGAACACGTCAAGATGGAAGAAGTGCTGCCATTCTGTGGACACGGGGTTCTTTCTGCACTGGTGAGCTTAATGCCTTTCTCTTTGTCTCTCTTCTTTCCCACCCTTCCTCCCTCCCTCCCTCTCTCCCTCCTACTAATTGCCTACGCACCGCTCTCTCTCTCTCTCTCGCTCTGTCGCTCTCGCAGCTCTCTCTCTCTCTCTGTCCATCTCTCTCGCTCCCTCTCCTTCTCCATCTCTCGCCTTCCACCCCTCCTGTAAGTCTTTTTCTCTCCACCAACTTAAGTTTACTCTTCGGCTTCTTGTACATTGTACTTAGGTTTCTTTCCCTGGAATAAGCGTGCTACATGATAGTTCGAGCTTCAGATGCTTCGGAGTATTGCAAGCAGCTCCTTTTCCTGGGGCACACATAAGGACTTGCCAAAAATGAGTGATCTACGGTAGCATGTGCTTGGGCCCCTGTGCACGACCTAGGGACCTTGGGGCTAGGGCTAGGATGTAGGGTAAAGAGCCAATTACCCATGTCAGCCACAGGTCTTGTGACAGCGGCCGTCTAAGCTGCGATGTATGCGTTCACGGGCTTGAGCTAAGAACCCGTCCATACTTCGCCCTGACATGTGCAGGTCTGCATCCGCACTACGGAGTAGTCGCATGACATGGCTTCCCGGATCCTCCAATGTTATCATTGTTCTGAGACTGCGTAGGTCTTTAGGAAGCCCAAAACAAGCTTGCGGCGGAAGCACATTGGAGGGTCCGGGGGCGCATCTAGACTGCTGCTCCTTGTGTTTCACAGTCCTGCAGTAAGAACCCTTTTGCTGCTGGACTGAGGTTCATGCGATGTTGATGCCCCAGAAAACCCCCCAAACATGGCTTCCCATTTCGTGTGAATCGGGGGGGGGGAAACTGCGGCGCTTCTGGATGTAGGACTGCTGTATGTCAGCCGCGCATACCTGAGAGCTTGCGAGCGCCGTGAGCTCAAGGTGTACCTGGAGTCAGCGAGGAAGCCGTCGGATGCCGCCCTTTGGGCAGCAGAATAAGCCCTCAGCACAAGACCCGGCGTAGAGGCCCTGGCCATACAGTTCGTTTATGGGAGCGGCAGAATAAACTCTCAGACCCCAGAATGTCCAGTCGCATAGCTAATCAGAACACAAGAGCCCTGTTCACTACCTTGTACAGTTTGTTTGGAGAATTTCAGGCCGTGAAGATGGCGACCCTGGCACGCTCATGTCACTAGGTATTTCCAGATCCCAGATCCCAGTTCTCTTGGCCTTGTTGACCCTCCGCACACTCGTTGTAGCCACGACCAACCCCACTATTTCTCAGTTTTTTGGTGCTCCTACTATTGGTGCTCCTCTTATGCCCTCTTCTTGTATCATTCTTCCTTGTCGTGCTATTGTCATTATGTTGTTGCCACGGCTTTGCTGTGAGTTTTGGCCTGCCCTGAACCTCAAGCGCAAGAGCCAAGCGGCTGTTGCAGCTACTCGAGCCCTGACATGAGACCAACACAACCCAAAGCCCTGCAAACCCGAAACTACCAGCCCTTTGCAGGGAACAAACAGGGCCAGGGCTCTTAAACGGCTACAAAGCAAGGGCCTGAATACCCCCAAAAGGACCCTCGTCTCGCACGTCAGCACAGCTGAGGTTAGGACCATGTTTGGGCGGCTCATGGCTGGGGGCGCTTGGCCCTCAGGAGGTTCAGGAGGTGTTGTGAGAGATTTCCGGCGCCGGGGTTTGAGGGAATGACGTTTTTAAGGCGGGTTCACAAAAAAGAGGTTTTAAGGCTGCTACAGACATGGTGGGTCACGAGGGCGCTCCAAGACCGTGCCCCTGAGCTTCTCGTGGTTCCAGTGCAGCACAAAGCTGTACGATAGTACAAGAGAAGTACTAAGTAAACATAGTAATAAGAGCAATAATCATACAAATAATAGCAAGAAGAGAGTGAGAGTAGGAGTAGTAGTAGTAGTAGTAGTAGTAGTAGTAGTAGTAGTAGTAGTAGTAGTAGTAGTAGTAGTAGTAGTAGTAGTAGTAGTAGTAGTAGTAGTAGTAGTAGTAGTAGTAGTAGTAGTAGTAGTAGTAGTAGTAGTAGTAGTAGTAGTAGTAGTAGTAGTAGTAGTAGTAGTAGTAGTAGTAGTAGTAGTAGTAGTAGTAGTAGTAGTAGTAGTAGTAGTAGTAGTAGTAGTAGTAGTAGTAGTAGTAGTAGTAGTAGTAGTAGTAGTAGTAGTAGTAGTAGTAGTAGTAGTAGTAGTAGTAGTAGTAGCAGTAGTAGTAGTAGTAGCAGTAGCAGTAGCAATAGTAGCAATACTGGCAGAATCAGCAATAATAGCATCAGCAGCAACAAAAGCAGTAAGGGCAACGAAAGCGAGTGGCACGAATCAGAAGAAGTAGTTCGGTTCTGGGCGCCGCAAACCGAGTTCTCGAAGCTGTGGTCGAGTTCCTGGAGAGCTGCCCTCCAAAACCACAACCACACGGCCCTCTACTTCCCAGACCACAACTATCATTATTATTATTATTATTATTACTATTATTATTGGCATTATTGGTATAATCATTATGAACTTACCAGCCCCAATTAACTTACAAAGCCCAATCCCACCCCCTGGCCCCAAGAAAGGATGTGCCAGAAGAGCACCGGGAGAAAGAGGAAAAGAAGGGCGGCGATGACGACCGTGATCGCTCTCGAGGCCGGAGCTGATGGGATCCTGGCATTTCCTTCTCTGGGGGCTGAGATTTTGGGGGGTTTGTGCGGTTTGGCGGCTGAATGGGCGAAAAGCTGCTTTAGGCTTCGGTTTTGCGGGGTTTTGTGGGTTTTAAGAGTTTGGCAGAATGCTTGAGGTCTGGTCGTAAGACTGCTTTGTGAGAGGCTGTGCTTCGAATCTGGCAAAGTACCGGCTACAAGTAAGTACCGTGGCGAGTCCAGATGCAAGGACGAGGGGTAAGGATTCAGTGACGCTTCCCTCAGATCGCCATCGCGGGCGCGAGCGTGACCGCCAGACACCCAGAGCGCCGAGGCATGGACTACTGCCAGGGGGCTTGTGAGCTACGTGACTATTCTACCTGCTGCCTTTACGTGCCAAGTGAAGCCACTGAAAGTGCTTCTGCAACACGAATCATTTTCTCCAAAATAGGGCCGAAGAGCTTTGGTAACAAATCCACCATTCCAAGGTCGATCCCGCTCCCGCTCACGCTTTGCACTGAGGGGCAGTGGGAGCTTCCAGACATAATCCTAAGCCCGAAGCCCTACACTGTACAATGCGCACTACCCTACACCTTCACAGCATCTCTGCATGCTACTCGAGACTGTGCAGGGACATGTGGTTCTTGGAGCTTTTTAACCTGTCCCTGATTTGAAAGACTTTCTTCAGTCGCGATGATGCCCAGGTCGACGATCAAGGTCTCGACGACGCTGAGCCAATCCCCAGTTCCATGTCAGTTTCGCAGGATGCGAGTGTTGACATTCAAGTGGACAGGTGCGGGGGGCTGGATGCTTGTGTCCTACCCTTGCCAGCGCTCCAGCAGCATGATGCCCAAGCAGCCAAGTACGACAAGTACTCACGCTTAGACTGGCTGAGGCCGCTAGGGTTACACATCACAGCCTTGTGTGGGTCAGCAGCACATGGGCACCATGCCGACGCCACAGGCCCTTGACAAGCATGGCCTTAAGCAAGTCGCCATGGCATTAGGCAAGCCTTGCAGTACAGAGCTTCTCGCGTTCGCTTTTCTGCGCCTTGTCGCGTTAGCCGTCCTCGGGCCCTCAGCCATAAAGCCACCAACCTAGCAGTGACTGGCAGTGACCTGATCAACGCGGCACCAATTCGCTGATCAGCTGACTTCTGCGTCATTTTGTACACGTATTCGAGACTGCTGTGCACTTTCTGCACTGCATCCGGCGGCGCTGCGCAACACATGTGCCGCGGAAAAACAGTTCGTGACCGCCTTGCAGCCATGAATGGTCATTCCGCAACATGGAACTGTCGCCTTTTGTTCCGTACAAATGGTCTATATTAGATGAAGAACATGGTTCTTGCAGGTTGCAGGTTGTGAGTATCAGAGTGCGATGATGTGCTGGACATGCCACGCAGCCATCTGTTGCAACTGATGCACACTCATACTTGTACTTGGTATGTAGGGCACACAGCAGACGATCTACTTCCAAGCGTTGCTTTTGGTCTACGCCGACAGCCCACACGATTCTCCGACCTTCCTGTCCATGCCCTTGACCCCCAAGACCCATTCGAGGCGGTGTCATAAGGGTGCCATTTTGCACTAGAGGCCCAAAGCATGAAACAGATTCATGCAAGCCCGGTGAGGGGTTCGGGTTTAGGGTATAAAATTTGTGTGTTTACAAGGATGCTCCGCCATGTGCTGTGCCGAGCACGCCCTGTTCTTGCCGCGCCTGTGCCTTTGCTGCACTATGCGAGCTCTGAACACTGAAACAAGGGCATCAAAGCCTACTAATTGCTACACCTCGCCTTCGGAAAAGCTGGAGGGCAAGTCATAGCCGAGGGTTGAAGAACCACGTACAATCTTGCAAGGAGAAGGATCTATGTTCGACTACGCATGTTCTTGCTTGCGATACTGCATTGCGTTCATCGCTTTTTCTTACTGTGCTATTCTAGTTTTAATTGTTGCCATTATAACGTGTATTCCTTTATTCCATCATTGCTTTTGTCTATCTTTTCCTCTGTCATTCCCTTTGATTTGACATCGGTGCATGCCTGGATAGTTTCGATCTTCAGTAGTTACCCGCTCTCGGAAGTTCGTCCCTTCCTCACAGACGGTTCGGAACAGCATCAGAAGACCACAAGGCGAAGAGGAGAATAACACATCACGCTCGCACCTTCTCACCTCGTTCAATCACTACTGCTTTGCTCCCGCCTTGGCCCGTGTCCCAACAAGAACCCCAAAACCAGGATGGGGGCTCCTTAGTTAGCAGCACTTTCTGTACTTTTTTAACAACCGTTTAGCTTGCAACAGGATTCCACTCCGCCGAATATCCAGACCCTCAAAATAGGGAGCTTGTGTGGTTTTCATATTGAGTGCGAGGAGGGGTCTTTCAGAACCAGAACACACACACCCTACAAGGTCCCCGAAGTATGATGCCATGCTTCACCTGCTGCAATCCATCTGCAGCAAGTTGTGCAGCAGTGCTCCGAATCATTAACTTGTGGACCCAGGTGACCTCTTGTTAACATCTTGCCTTCGACCGGATTTCGCCCGCTCCCTAACCCCTTAAACCCAAAACTTTGCCCTAGACCATATAGCACATGAAGCTGGCAAAACAAGCCCTCTTTACCCCAATTTAGAAGTAGCCAGCATGTCCAAGTCTCTGAGGCCTGGCGCGCATCGCTTCGTGTGGGATTCGCCCCTCAAGTCCCAAGGCTTGAAGGGAGCTGTGGTTTCGGGGTTGGGGTTTACGGTTTAGGGTTGTTAGGGTTTATGGGGTTTAGGGTTTAGGAGCAGGGTTCAAGAAGGGCCTGGGAACTTTGTGCTTAAAGTTGGAGAAGAGTTTAGGGTTGAGGGATGTAGGGCTTTGGCGTGGCGTTCCTCAAGATGTTTTTGAGTTTCGGGTGTCAGGTTTTGGGTTAGGGGATCAGCAGCTTAGCTTGGGGGGCATCTTCACTGGGTTGTACTTCGGGTGTTGGACGTTCCGGACAAAGGCGACTTGAGTTTGTGCGTAGGGAAGTGCCAGGAGCAGGAACCTACGGGGGGGGCCCGGCACCCTAAACACCGACCAAGAGGGACTTGCAAGGCCCACGAGGACTCCACACTGTTGCGGAAACTCCTATGAAGACTTACGAATTCCCCAACTCTTATGTGAGTTCAGGTTGCCCTCCCCCCCCCGAACCCCCAGCAGTCCCAACGAGCCAGGCGAGCCTTCAATGCGGCCTCGCCGCTTGCACAGCTGTTTTCCTTAAGGTAGGGGTTTAGGCTCTGTCAACAGCTTTAGGTGAAAAGGGTTGAGCAAAAGGATTTCCTGAGGCCTTGAGTACCAAAGGCCTGGCAGAAGCCCTCTTGGAACGTTGGCATCTGACGGGGGGTTGTTGCGCGATCTCGGCGACCTGCGATTCTTCCACGATACCAAACCTAGAGTTTCCCCGCGAGAATCGCAGAAGGCTTGGAACCTAAAGCCCCAAAACCTAAAAACCTCGAGCCGCGGAAAAGAGCACGCCAAGAACAACGGAGGTTAGAAGATCAGGAGGACCTACCCATCCCGGAGGTGGGCCCCATCCAGGTTTTGGCTTGAGAGGGTGAGGCGAGGTTGGGTGTTGCGCATATTCTAAGACCCACCTGGGATCATGTTCAAGTTCCCCCAGTAAAATGCAGCTGCCCTGGTTAGGATAGCTCGGTTGCAAGGTCTATAGCTTCTGCATAGTAGAGGGGTTTGGGATCTAGGGGCTTTCTGAGAAGGCTGATGGTACTACTGTTTTGGACATGCTGGAGAAGACCTGTCGATGACTACATTCCCCTCTTGCAGTCGTCCCCCCCCTCCAATCACCCCTCCGCCGCATCCTGGTGGAGGCCTCCTGAACAACACGAGACAGACAGACAGCCAGCCAGGCAGACAGACCGACAGACAGGGTCAGAGAGAGAGCGAGAGAGAGAGAGAGAGAGAGAGAGAGAGACACACACACACACACACACACATACATACATACACACTAACACACTAACACACTAATACGCACATACACACATATACACATACACACACATATACACACTAATACACACATACACACGAATACGCACATGCACACTAATACACACATACACACTAATACACACATACACACTAATGCACACATACACACATACATACATATATATATATATACATATATATATACATATATATATATACATCTATATTTATATGTATATATCATGTATATGCGTTGCTCATGTTGTTTTCGGGGTCTGGACACGGCCCTGGGCGTCATGCTCCGCAGCTGGGTTCAAGGGTATATCAGGATTGGCTCCAGGGGAAATGGAGCCGAAATCCTGGCAAAGTTGGCCCATCTAGGCGCGAGATGAGGCTAGGCATGCAAGGATGCATTTCGGATGTCTTTGTTCAGAAGCCTCCAGAAGTCGTGCAATACAATTTTTAAGCGCAATAACCAACCCAAACATGCAGGTTTCTTGTTTGGTATCCTGGGTGTCTGTGGCAACCTAGGAACAACTACCATCTCTACGAGGAGCTGCTTGGCTCAATGTTGCCTGCTGTTTGGTGTCTCCTTCATTCCGTCGCGCAGAATCCCCCCCCCCCCGCCCCACAAACCCATACATACACTGACCAGTGAAAACCCAGAGCTAGTTCCAGTTTGGCGGATGCAGAGGCTTGGGGGTCACGGTAGGGTGCTAAGGATTGGGCATGGCAAGTTCTCGAAGGTTTACAAGGGCCGGAAGAAGTTCACCATCCGCTTCGTCGCCGTGAAGAGCTTCGAGAAGAGCCGGAGGGAGAAGGTCCTGATAGAGGTGGACATCCTATCGAAGCTGAACCATCCGAAGCCCGGCCTTTTCCGCCCCCCCCCCCCCCCCCCCCCCCCCCCCGCCGTTGAACCAAAATGCCTACAGGTCCTGAAGCCCTCAAGACCCAAGAAGCCTGAGACTAGGATTGGAACCAGGGGACTTGTCGCCTCTGACTTCGGAGAGCTTGCCCCGCTTGTCCAGGATGTAGGTCTTCATGCTTCACTTTTGCAGGGGTGTACCTCTACGCCCATTTAGTGGTAGCCGGGCGTCACGCAAGCCTCTAATCTCTTATTGAGGAATGTGCTCGGCCTCATCAACTGGTATGAGACGCGAAATCACCTATGGGTGATCTTTGAGTGCCCGGGCGAATTTTTTGGGCAATTCGAAGTCGCGCCTCCAAATTTTGTAGGCATGACCTGGAAGTGAATACCTATAGGTCCCATTCAGGGGGGGTTGGGAGGACGTAGCTGGCAACACGGCAGTTCTGCGAAGAAGGCGAGCAGAGAGAGAGACAGAGACAGAGAGATCGCATAGAGCGCCAAACGAGTGCAAACGAAGAATGAGAATGTTGAGAAGGTACACAGGGAGGGAGACAGGGGAGGCGCAAGTCATATCACAGAGGTGGCTCACCCTTCAAGCTTGACCATTTTGGAAACCTCAGCCATAAGCCTCAACGCCATACCCGACCCGCAACCCCCCCAGAGATCAGGTACTGTGCCGGGGGTGATCTCCTGAGGCTGCTGAAGCAAGACAGCAGCCTCCCTGAAGACCAGGCCTTCTTTTCATCCCCGGGTAGGGTGCCTCATAGAAACGATTGAAGGGCAGGAGAAGTTTTGTTTTGCCAAAGGGCATTGTGGAGCCAGGCTCTTTCACTACCTTCGCCAAGAGAATCAGGTGCTTGTTTTCTGGAGTATGAGCCATAAGTTTTTAAGCCCTTGAGAGCCCTAAAGCTCCCTGCTGCAACTCGAAAGCCCGAGTCAGGTGAGAGCCTTTGGTGTGGACATCTGCGCTGGCCTTTTGCACGTGCACTCGTGCTACTCGGTGGCTTCAGCTCACGCCAACTACTGCCTCTTAGGGCCAAAAAAAGAGGATTGCAGGTTTCCCCTACACGCCCAAGAGGCGGCTTCGTGTACGGCGACCTAAAGCCGGCCAACATCCTCTTCGACGAGAACGGATCGCTGAAGCTCTGCGATTTCGGGCAGGTTCCACAGTTCCGAGAGTTTTCGGACAGTCCGGCTGACTACCTGTCTCTTCGAGATTTGGCGCCATGTGAAGTACGGAAAGTTGCACATGGCTAGGGTGTGGTGAAATGTGGTGACCCGTGGGAGTGAGGGGACGGGAAAGGGGAATGGGGAAAGGGGAAAGCAGATCGCAACAGGCATGACCGAACCCTCAACATCCCCCCCGAAGCCCCAGGCCTCCCCCTTTAAGGCCGAACTCTCGCATTGCGAAGGCCCAGCGCGTGGACGACATCGAGCGGGCCCTGGCGGAGGGCCGGCAGCCCCCGCGCAAGGGCTCCCCGCCCCTGGGGCCGCGGTAAGGGGGGCTTGGGCCGTTTTCAGTGTTGAGCACATAGGGTGGGGGGGTCGATGAAAGTCATGGGGCTCTTGTTCGTTTCCCTTTGCTACTCACACCTCAGAAAGATCTTAATTCTCTACAGGATTGCTGCTAGCACCACAAACATCCCTTTCCTCGCCGGTCTTTGGTGTCGCCGGCGGACCTGCACACCGCATTGCTTGCGAGCTAAAATCTCAAGGCAGTACATGGCCGCGGAGCTCTTCCTGGAGGGTGGCATTCACTCCTTCGCCTCAGACCTCTGGCAGCTGCGCAAGCAAAGCACTTGATAGGGCGAGGTGAAGTCCTGTAGTTGTGAGAGTTGGAGGGAGGAATTGCCAGGCTGATTGAGCACTTGTTTGACTGCAGCCAGCACCTTCAGCAAACGGTGCCCTTAAGACGTAAACCTCAATAGGCTGAGGACATCGAACATGATGTGGCCGTAGAGAATGGGGGTTTGAGCTGACGGAAGGATCTGGCAAACGTGGCGAAGACCTCTTCGAAACATCCCGAAACTGGCAACCTGCAGAAAGCCCGGCACTGACCGAGGTCACTGGGCTGCGTCCTCTTCGAGCTGCTCAAGGGCGCGCCGCCCTTCAACTCTGTGGCCCCGGCGCATGTCTTTGTTAAAGGTTCTTGGCTGGTTGATGCTCTGAGGGTTCCATCTTTCCTCTTTTGACTTGTCTTGTCCTGGTGTTTGGTGCTGGGGACTTGTGCTGTTAACGGTTTCGGGGTTGTGGCCACTTCGTTTCATTGTTGAGTCTCTTGCCCCAGGTGTCTTTCCAGCAGCTGCAGCACCTGGTGCTGTCGGAAGTGCCTCCGCCTACAAGGGCCTCGCGGGACTTCCAGGACGTCGCCGGAGTCCGCAATGCACGCTTCGAGACCCTAGACCGGTATCCGAAATAGGGGTTTCCGAAAATAGGGGTACCCTTTTCGGGGTCCTTGTTCGGGGATTTTTTTCTGCTTGGGGTAGGTAAGGGGTGCCCGTATTTTGGGAAATACCCCATTTGTTGACGGAACTTGGGGGCTAGGCTTTCTTAGGATGTTCGAGGCCTGCTCTGGGGTGCCGCTATGGCTGCAGATCTCAGTCGTGCGCTGGTGACCATACGGCTTTTTCTTTGCTGTTCAGGTCCTTTGCTTAGCTCGACTGCAGGTCTGACTGTTTGAAATCATAAGTAGCATCTGCTTGCAATTGGTTTGCGCTCTTCCCAGTTCACGACAAGACAGTTCCAAATGGCGAAAGGACCTTACGATGCAGCTACTGCGGAAGTGGCTCGCCCGGCAAAATGCTCGAAAGAGCTGTGCAAACTGTGCCCGATGACGTGGTCCTCCTAGATATTACCAGTCCTTGACATTGTTGTTGGGGGAACCTCACTTGTGGATGCCCGCATCTTGTTGTTGCAGCGGGAACTCGAATAGGTGTCAGCAGACTTTTCATCGATCCCCCGTCCCGGCTAGCTAAGTCCGATATTTGTGTTTGGCTTGCCCTGGATGTGTCTTCCAGTATCATAACAACAGCTTTCCCTTCAAGGCCCCGATCTGGTCCCTCCTTGTCAAATTTAGTCGAAACAGGGTTCAGGACAGGATTGCTAGGATTGCGTTGAGAGGCTGTGTTTCGCCTGAGCCAAGCCTGTTCTCTGCAGTCGTGAATAGCGAGTCTAGTGAGTCCAGTGTGCTCTTTTGGCGCTTCTTCAAGGTCTCCGGTCGAACGTATCACGTGGCCTTCGCTGCGTCTACATGGCCGCTTCTATTTAATGGAGGGCCCGTTCTTGAACTGCTTTGTAAGCCACAAGAACCCCAAAAGTCCCAAACCGGTCGAGCTAAGCCCTACTGGAAGCCGTTTGATAGGGTTGTGGCTGAGCAAGACGGATCTGGCCAGCATGCAGTGTCGAGATGCAAAAGGGGGTTGTGACTTCTCCTACAAGGAGAGAGGTCATGGAGCTTCGGGGCCTAAGCCCCAAACTAAGCCCCAAACTTTAATCCTGCGTGGACGGATTGTGTGGGAGTGGGGACAAGCGAATGCCGAATGCCTGATCGGCGGGCAGTATGGCAAAATCAGCCTGTATGATTTCGAAATCCCGTCCAAGCCCTGGCCGGGCTAACCAAGAATGGAACATGGTATGAGGGTCTTGGCTCGGCTTTCTGATTTCGGATGCCTCAGGGTGAGGTTTGTGTGAGGCTTGTAGAAGGGGACAGAGGAGCCCTTCCCAGGAAAGCAGAAGCAAGCACCCTCAACCCTCTTTACAGTCGTTTTGGGACTTCTAAGCCCGGAGAGGCTGGTGGGGCGGCCAGGCGCCGGGCGACAGTCGCGATGCAGCGGGCTGCAGGGAGTTTTTTGGGGTTTCGGGTTGCGGGGCCGCCAAGAACTTGGGTCCAGGGGTCTCCAAAACAGGAAGGCCTCGAGCCAAGAGGCAAACTCCCCTGTGGACCCTCAAATGGCCCATGCCCAGGGCCCACATATCACGGCCCACGTACCTATTGAATATTGTTTTTGAGGCGTCAGTTGTGGGGCAGGCTTTCGCAGGGACTGTATGCAATTTCCGTGCCCAGCATCTTCAACAGCCTGGATCCTGTCTGGACCTAAGAGCCTTCCCCCAAGCTCCCAAAAAAATATGCTTAATTCGGATCACTCCCCCCCCCATATCAGGTACAGGTGCTGGCCGGTGAGCGATTGGGCTTCCTTCAGAGATCTTAGGGAGCCCGAATCGAACGGTGCCGCGGGCAAAGCAGGCGCTGGATGTGGAGCACCCCAAAGTACCCCACCGCAAGGGCCGGCAGTCAGGTTGTTCGGGTGACGTTTTTTTGGTGGGGTTCCAAGAAGGTGGGAAGGCTTCGGCCAATGCAGCGGGTCGTAAGCTGTGGCTTAGGTGGTGGGACCGGGGTAGCTGGCCGGACGAAGGAACGGCAGGTGGCTGGAGTCCAACTGCACTTGGGGGGTTTAGGGCACATAGGGTTCGTAGGCATGTTTGTCACTCTGCTTCTCCTTTGCAGCACCTCAGGCCGGAGGCTCAGCAGTCCTGGGCACGTAGGGGGGCGTGTGGCGGCTAGCACATCAGGAGTCAGAAGCTCTCCAGACTCGATATGGGATTGAATTCGCAAGCCAGCCCTCAACTGCGCTGTGTTCTCATGCCTCCGGGTTTGGGTTCCACAGGCTCTTCCCTTCAGGGCGTCAGCCCTAGCCCTAGACTCTAGACCCCCAACGCCGCCAAAGCCCCAACACCGAAGCCCGTTCGTTGAGCCCAGCTGCGTTGAGCCCAGCTGCGTTGAGCTTACCCCAAATCAGCTTTCATACAAATTGTCCGGAACTGAACTCTGAACCCTGAACCCTGGGAGCTTCGGAACATCAAAGAGTCCCCGCACCCATCGCTTGGCCCAAGGCCCATGGACATATGGCGCAGGGTCTTTTGAACCCCCCACTTTCAAGGCAGATTAGGGTTTATCCTTTATTGCCGGCTTTAGGATCTCATGGAACCAGGCCAACCCGAAGAACTAACCCTTTTGAACCCGGTCTCAGAGCCATGCCGGTACCTGCCTGCGAGGAAGCACTCGTGGCCATCCTGTATCGCCCAAAAGTGCAGTGCTAGCCCTGACTTACAGGCCCGCCAAGGAACCCCAAACCGAAAATCCTCCCTCCCCCCCTAATCCTCGGTCTCCATGCCAATGGTGCAGCGGAGTAATGGCTGGTGGTGTGGGGCGGCACACCCGAAGCCGCTTTGTTTGGCTGATGGGGATGTTCGAGGTTAGAGGGCCGGCCTCTGGGGTTAGGGGGCCGCTCTTGGGCCCTGAGGCGGTTCTTCTCTCTCTCTCTCTTTCTTTTCTGCTTGTTTTTTTTATTCTTTTTTGCGGGTTTGACGAAAGTTGCACCAATGGCCATGATGCCTGGGTGTAGAGTAAATGCATGCAACGCTGGGCACATAAGTCAGTGAGAGTAGTAGGTATTGGGCCCGATGTACGAGACTGCGGCCCAAATCTGCTTCAGGGTGAGGTGAAGGTCAACTTGAACGATGCCTGGCCATCCCATCGCCCCTCCACAAACAATTAAACACACCTACACAAATTCCCGCCTGGCTTCCACGGAGTCAGAGTGTCTGCAGTGATTAGGCGCAAGTGGTGAAAGAGGGTTCCAAGTCGTCGGGTTCCGAGTTCACAGACTGCGCGCAGTCTGTTGAGGAAAGACAAGCTTGCCTCCTCTCTGAGATGACCCATGAGATGGAAGATTCAGAGGACCACTTGAGGGCACCGGGTGCTACAAGTTACAAGAGTACGGAGGTTGATCGAAATCATGGACCCTGAACAGGTCACCAGCTCATCGGGGGGAGCAACGTGTACCTTTTTGCTGGGCTGGTCGTTCCCAATCCTACTCGTATCATGCACAATAGCACGACAGACACTGTCGCAGAATGTTATGGTGGGTCATGCGATGATCCTTCGTCATTTGTCTTTGCAGGGTACTAGCCTGAGTACTCTCCGCGCGACAGACCCCCTTCTGGTTTCATGCAGTCTCCATGCTGAAGTGCCTAATTAAGGCCACGGACGGTACCACTGCATGATTGTCCGGTCAATCATTCGGGGGATTTCACAGGCCACCCTTGTCTGTGATGTCTGGTTTCTCTCTTTTGGTACCGAACATGCTCAAGCAACACTACAGTCAGGACCATGTTTGGGTTTGCCCGAAAGAGAAGACCCCGCATCATGATGACTACTCACAAGGGGACCCCATGTTTTGAGGGTGATTGGCATGCTTGCGTCTTACTTTGGTGGCACTTCCGGACTGATCCTGCTTCGACAGCTGAGCTGGTTCAGCTTCAGGATAGGATTCATGAGTTTTAGGCTTTGGGGTCGGTTCAAGTGCCGAGGGCCTGCAACTTCTGTCCTGAGGCCCCGCAAAGCACGCTTAGCCCGAGTGCATGCCATCGCTTCACAGCCAGGAGGCAGATGGGACGAACAACGACGATGAAGGCACGTCGGGATAATCATGTTCGGGGCAGGGTGCCTGAGTTGGATTTGCCTTGAGGCCCTGATGGCTTGCAGGTGGTAGTTGAACAACAAAAGCAAAGATCGTCAACGAGTCGCATCGTTTACGTTTCAGCACCTCACTAGTCCCTCTCCAGAGCCCAATGCTCGCCCAAATCGTAATCGTCCCGTGGGCTCAAAAGCCTCCAGAGCATGCAGCTGCTACTGTCAGCCCCAATGGTTGTGCATTTTTATCACCCTCCTTATCTACATGCCATTCGTCATCTCCACCCATGTGGGCAAAGAATTTGCGGTTAACGGGTAAACCCCAAAACTTCGGGTTCAGGGTCCCCGAATGCCGTTCAGGTCGCTTAAGGACTTGAGAGCTTCGAGCCGCCAGAGGCCGAGTAGACCCTAAACCCTAAACCCTAAAACCCTACACCCTACACCCTAAACCCTAAACCCTAAACCCTAAACCCTGAACCCTAAATCCTAAACCCTAAACCAATCCCACCAACTTTGGCTTCTCCAGAGGCCGGCAGCTCTACAAGCTGGACGAGGCCTTCGAATCCGACTACCTGGCCGGATGCCAAGTTCAGGGGCTTGAAAGGCCTCTAGAAATTATATATATATATGTGTGTGTATGTATATATGTATATATGTATGTGTGTATATATATAGGTAAGCATATGTGTATGAATATATATGTAAATGTATATGTATATAATGTATATGTATGTGTATATGTATATGTATAGGTATATATATGTATGTATAGGTGTATGTGTATGTATATGTATACGTATAAGTATAGGCTACTTGGCGGCTACTTAGCTACTTATATGGTCCCCACCTGTGGCATTCTTTTTGGCAGGCATGACTTACCCCTCATCGCAACAACCCCCCCCCCCCCCCCCCCACCCCAAAAAAACAAAAGGAGCTGAACACCCAGAGGTCGGCTTGTTCTAGCCTTCCCAGGATGCGGCTGCAGGCTTCGGGGGCACTTCGGAGTTGCAGGGTTTTGTTCGGGCCTCAGGATTTGGATTTGGGCTCTGAAACGTTCGCTGGTGCCGCAGTGGGGGAAGGCCTGCATAAACCTGTGAGGCCATGCCGGCGAAGCAGCAAGAGGTTCCGCTTCGCAGCCTTGTTTTCTCACCACTCCCCCGCTTCCGAAGCTAAACCACAACCCCCAAAACCTCCTAAACTTTGGGCCCGAACGAAGCCCTGAACCAGCGAGCGTACACAAAGGCACCCCGGAAGATCAAGCGCATGCGGCGGCAAGTCTTCGTCGACCCAGAGGAGATGAAGGACACTTAGTGTGTTGTGGAATTGAGCCGGTCTCCCTGTTGGAGCCATTCTCCCGACTAGTGACGAGAGCCAGTCCCAGGAGGCGGGGAGGCGCTGTTCTTTCTAAGGCCAGTTTCCCCACCGCGCACACCATTGTACCTGGCCCAGTTAGGGAGGACACCCTGTTTTGGGTTTGGGCTCCCAGCACAACCCCTTAACCCCGCTCTAGATTGCCTCAATGTTCGATGTCTGGTTCATAGATGTCATAGATGTTACGGATATCCGCGGGCGGGAGAGACGAAACCTGAACAATCCGATGCCCTGAAGCACGACCGAAGCCAAACAAGCGAATCTTCCAGAGAAAGGCCAAGATCCGAGCTGCGGCAGTGAGGCCGCAATACAACGTCAGCATGAACCCAGGCGGCAGCCAGATTCAGGTCAAGGACCCAGCGGTATGCTTTCAGTTTCCAGGGGTTAGGCTGCAGTATGTTGCAGCATCGGCTTCAACAAGTCTGGGAACTGTAGAACTCTGGTTGGCACTTGAAGGATCCGTCAGGAACGTGTTGTGCTCAAAACTCAGGAAGGTAGTACGGTGCCTTATGCCCGACACCAAACCAAGGTATTACCACGATACTGGCTTGGCACGGCGCATTGCAGTTCAGCCGCTCTTCGAGCAGCTGACGCACCACGGCAAACCTGGCGTTGAGGGCCCTAGGTTCGGAGTTCAGAGTGCGCGCATCAAGCTTGGACGCAACTGCTCATGCAACTGCTGATGCAGCGCTGATGCAGCTGCTGATGCAGCGGCTGATGCAAATCTTGTTGCTTCTGTTGCAAGTGCTCCGTCCTGCTTGCTGTGGCAAAGAATGATAGGAATGACAAGAATGCCACGGCCACACAACTTGCTCAGCTGCGAAGGTTAGCCGTAATCGGATTCAACGCCATCTGGCTTTGGGTCGACGTGGACCTCAACAATGCGCCGACGCTCCTGAGCGCGGACCGGATATTTCAGGTGGGACTTTGCCGAACATAAACGTACTCGCAGGCCTTGGCTTAGGAGCTGCGCCGGGCGAAGTCGGCCTCAGCCAGCTGTTTCAGTAGCCGGTGTTCTGCAGGTCATGGAGAACGCATTCGCAATCTTCTACACCCTCGACGCCTGGTTCTTTTGACTTTTGATGCCGGTCGACAAGCATTCTATTCTCCGGAATCGTTGCGTGTACTGCTGCTGTCATTTCCCAATCGACCCCAGGTGTCATCGGCTTGCGTTTATCAGTACACAAAGTCGTATGCTGGGGCTGGGCCCTATTTAGAGCTTCCGGTTTGCGCCTTGTTTGGACTTCCACCCTGGGCCTGTTCGAGTGATCAAAGGAGTGGGCCATCCGCTTCCTCGCCTTCAAGCGCAAGGTGGGTTGGGGGGGGGCAAGCCTTCAAGGGAGCTTGCATTTCTGACACACCCCACAAGCCCTGCAAGCCCTACAAGCCACACCCCACTTGACGTGCACCAGGTCGACATATTCCGGGACGGCTGGATGTGCTTCGACACCCTCCTCCTCATCCTACTGACGGGGGAGACGTGGGCCCTAAGCATCTGGGCTTTGGCCCCCAAAAAAAGGCCGAAGCTCCTAAAGCACCCAAGCCTTGTCTGTCCTCTTACAGAACGCCGATCATCTTGGGTTGAGTGCGGGGGTTATATCGGTTGGTTCGCAGAGATTCAGGCTCAGGGTTGGTTGACCTGTTCAGGGTGGAGGGCTCTAGGACCAAGCCACGGCTGCTCTCGTGAAGTCCTTGCTTGTTTGGGGGTTTAGAGCCTAAGCCCCACAAGCACTCGGGTTCGAGCGGTTTGTGTGCGCTGAAGGGCTTGCCCTGGAGGAACTCGACTCACAAAGAGTCGCGAAACGTTCAAGGAACCTTAAGAGTCTTTGGCCTGTGCCCTCAAGTTTCGAAAAGTTGTTTTTTGGTTTTTTCGTATATAAATCTATTCTTATTATTTTACATTCGTGGCAAATTTCTTCTATTAATATATTCTTATACTGTTTATTCTTCTAGTATTCGATTATTGCAAGATCATATGGGTCTATTCTATTTTTCTAATATTCTCGTATTAAAATAGTCCAATGTTGTACTACTACAAAATAATTACTATGATATAGTCTATGATGATCATACTCTCATATTCTTATATTGTTATAATATTACACTATTTGTATATTGTTAGATGATAATAGCATATCATGAAACTTGCAATTCTGCGTGTTATACAAATTTTTTTAAAAAAAAGCATTCTTGTAGTACTATCTTGCTATAAGCCGACTCAAGCCCTCCCCAGCTGAGCCCCAGGCATTTACCTGGCCCTCACCGCCACGGAGGCAGAAGTGGGAGGCAACACTGCAGCTGCTTGAACTCAGATTGGGGGGTTTAGGGTTCAGGGTCCAGGGTTTAGGGTTTAATGCAAGGGTGCTGAGAAGGTCCCGGGCAGGCAGTGCAGCAGTCCTAGCCGTAAAAAGGGTTTAATGCAACAGGGTTTGGGGTTTTAGGGTCCAGACTGCAAGAGACCTGGATGCAAAAAGGGTCCAGATTCGTGAGCCTGACTTTCCCGGCAGCTGTGCAGACCTGGGGTCCAGATTCGGGCTTGGGGCACCCTTGGTCTTTCATGGTTTGTAGGTTTGAGGCACTGTCAGAGAGAGGGATGTTGGAGTTAAGGGGTAGAAGCTTTAGGGGTTTGGGACTCTTGGGAAAGTCTCAAAATTTTGGGGGCTGAAGGGTTAAAAGCGTGAGTTTACCGGGGGTTTTTAGGCGAAATGATGCGCCCAGGTGTTGAAGTTGGCCCGCCTCATGCGCTTGTCTCGCATCTCTGCTCTAACTTTTGGCGGTGGCTCTGTGGGCCTTTTGGAGACCGGGGGGAAGGGGGGGGGGAGGTCTCTAGTTGTGCCGGTTCCTTGCAGCTTAGGGCATAAATTCCTGGGATCCAGAATTTTTTCAAGGAGGCCCTAGGGCCAGAAGTGAACCCCAAATGTGTGAAGGCTTGAGCTCCTGAATCACCGAATCCCTGAACCTCAACAACCGAAGACCTCAACTCCTCAAGAAAAATACCCTTGAAACTTAGACTTAAACCTAAGCCTAGAGATCTCTAGACCCTCTAAACCCCAAGGTATTCTCTCTGCAGTTGCCCCGTGGAGCTTGGCTAGGCAGCTGGCAAAGAAAACCCTAAACCCCAAACCCTAAAGGGGACCATGTGGGGGGCGAACGGAGCATCCCAAGTGCTCAAACATAGAAAAACACACACACCCCAAAAAGCAACGGAACCCCCAGAACTCCATCCCCCATGGTCTCGGAGGAGAAAGGCTTTGACGCCACCTCAAATTCGGCAGCGTTCATCAGACCCGTGCAGTTGGCCCCACGAGTATTCCCCGGGGGCCAACTGCACGGGTCTGATGAACGCTGCCGAATTTGAGGTGGCGTCAAAGCCTTTCTCCTCCGAGACCATGGGGGATGGAGTTCTGGGGGTTCCGTTGCTTTTTGGGGTGTGTGTGTGTGTGTGTGTGTGTGTGTGTGTGTGTGTGTGTGTGTGTGTGTGTGTGTGTGTGTGTGTGTGTGTGTGTGTGTGTGTGTGTGTGTGTTTTTCTATGTTTGAGCACTTGGGATGCTCCGTTCGCCCCCCACATGGTCCCCTTTTTACGCTAACTTTAAAAGCGCCTCAAACTCGAACGAACAGTATGGCCGGTATTAGTCCCTGCAACGTGGCCTGAGTGTCAGCTAGGCGGGTGGCAAAAAAAACCCTAAACCCTAAACCCTAAACCCCAGGTATGGCTCGGATGGCCCGGCTGTTGCGGATGCTGCCGGAGCTTCAGATCATGGCCGCTTTTGATGCACAGCTTCCCTAGGGGGTCTGATGCATTTTATTGGGATGTCTCCCCCCTTATACCAAGCGTCCTTAAGAGGGTTTAGGGTTTAGGGTTCAGGGGTGGGTTCCTGGCGTGACTTTGCAAGCCAGTTGCAAAAAGGGTTTAGGGTTTAGGGGGATGATCGTAGAATGCGTGTTCAGAACTGCCAGTAACACGGGGAACATTCAAAATCTATTGGCTTTCTTCTTGCGTTTCGGGCTTAGAAAAGGTGTATTTTTGAGACGAGGCCCGGATGTAAAAGGGTTGAATGCCCTACTTTCCCTGACTACCCCGGCCTCCCCAAAGCACGCTAAACCGTTCAGGGCATTTCGGGGGCAGACGGTATAAGGCATCTGAAATTCCCTTGCATCCCTTGAACACCCCAAAACCTTTGCAGACAATGTGCCTCAAAGCCTTCTCCCTAAGCCCCACACCCCTTGTGTGGCTCTAAAGCCTAAAGCCACGAATTCCTCCCTCCCCAGAACCGGAGGGGCCCTTAAAAACTCTTGAAGCCTAAAAGCCCTGAGCCCAGGTCAAAGGCATGGGCGCTGCCATGCGCGGCGAAGTTGCAAAGACCTCCACCCTTCACTAACATAGAGAAACTTGTTTGGGGCTTACAGGGCCAAACAGTTTTGGTGGTGTAGCGCAGGGCTTATAGGGTTTTTGGGTTTGTGAGGTTTATGGGGTTGTAGGCGTAGGTCATGGCTTGCGGCTTTATCGGATGTAGGGCTGATGGGTTTTCAGGTTTTCAGGTTAGGGTTTGTCGGCGTTTTGGGTCTACAGGTGTTTAGGGCTTCGAGCCTTTGGGGGTAGTTCATGGATTGAGGATTTGTGGGTCGGGGGCCAAGGTTTAAGTCCTTAGCTTCTGGCAACAATGAGTTCAGATGCAAAACAGAACAGGTGCCGGATGCTTTTGGAAGTTTCGGAAAACAATAGGGCTCGATAGGGTCCCGAAACTCAGAATCCTAGAAGAACCCCCCCCCCCCCCCCCCCCTTTCCTCCCCCGCCCACCAAAACTCGCCCAAACCCTCGAGACCCTTAAACCACCTTCCGCAACCTTGGAACCCTCGACGCACGAAACCCTATACCTCAGAAAAGCCCCCGCTAAACCCTGAACCCCAAACCTGGTTACGTGTTGGGCTAAAGGTGCCACCCCGTACCCTGCTGCGGGAGTGTCGTAAAGTTGGGCTCCGAAGTGCAGTGTGCAAAGCATCCTCTTTGCAGTGGCACCGCGGAGCATGGCTAGACGGGTGGCAAAAACCCTCAAGCCCAAACTCGAAAAACCCATGAGCTGAGGTTCCGTGTTCTTCACCCTTTTGCTGCTGGCTTGCCTGCTCTACGTCTTCGGCATCTCCTTCAAGAACATTGTTTCGGGTACCGAGGCAGGGCCTTGTGTGGGTGTTTTTTTTGGTTTCGCAGAGGTTTAGGGTTTAGGGTTTTAGGGTTTAAGGGTTTAGGGTTGTGGGGGTGAGAGAGGGTTTTGGGGGTTCTAGGCGCGAGCTTCTAGCACCAGGTGGGCAGGCAATACTTCAACTCTGTGTTCCAGTCCATCCACACCCTGCTCCTGCATGGCTCCTTGGGCCTGGGTAGACGTGGCTGTCGCGGGTTTCGGGATGATTTAGTTTAGCATAGTCGGGTAGGTAACCCCCAAAGCTTTAAACCTTTTTGGGGAACCTCTTTCCTCTACATCCCCGGAAGCTGGAGCAGGTTTTGGGTTCAAGTTGTTTTTGGCTGATCAGGCTTCCTAGCCTAGAGTTAGTGGGACACCAGAAGCTACCCTCACCTCCATGCCGGGTCAAACTCCCAAGGCACTCTCTTGGATGACGTTGTGGATGTCATGAATGCCCTGGCGGACGAGTCCGTCTTACTGATACTTCTGTTCTACATCTTCATTCTGTTCGTGGCAGGGCCGCAGAAAGAGGTGTTCCCAAAGGCAGCGCGAGCTTCTGGCTTGCTTCATTCCGGAGCTGGCGTGCCAAAAGCGATGGGGTAGCTTGTGTTTTTTGTTCATCTTGTTGCACATTTTAAATCGGTGGCTCCCTGACAAGTCTCATTTCATATAGTAATCAGCTCCTTCTGTGCCTAAGGCTGCATTGACAGTGCTCAACATGCTCATTGGCGTGCCCAGGGCTTAGCTATTCCAGGAACCAGTTGCAAGCTGACGATGTCTCTCTATTGATTCCTGCGTCGCCCAAATTCAGCTTGTAATTGCTGGCCCATGGTTGCTGGGGTTGCTGGAGCACTTTGCTCTGTAGGGTTGCTTAGCACAGTGCGCTCGGATCAGACGAAACAGGCTGTGCGAGATCGTCAGCGGGGTCTCTGCAACAGAGCGGGAGACCATCGCGGTCGCATTTGTGCGTCTTGCCGATTTAGAAGCTGATCCTTACAACCCCCAAACAGCTCTTAAACCCCTGTAGGGCTTACATGGTCGGGTTCGGCGTCTTTTGGGAGGCCTGGGGCTCAAGCTTGGGAGTGAATTCAGTTTAGGCGAAAACCCTGCGCCGAAATGCTGGCAGCTCAAGCCCGAAGTCGCGGCATGTGCCCTCCCTTATGGAATTCGTACACTCTGAACGCCCTGAACCTTACCATTTAATTATAGGTTTTGTACTTGTGCTTCCTTTTGGTGATTGTCTAGCTTCGGCCGGGGCCACGACTCCACGATTGTCTTGGTTTGAGCTTGGCAAGTGCCCGGCCTGGTTGGAAAAGGGTTAAGGACTGACTTCAGAGCCCGGATTGCACAGAAGGTCTGCCCCACCCCCCCTCCCCCCCCCCTGCCACGCACGGTCAAGGGAGCCAAGAGCATGGAGGCTTCCCAAAACCAGCCCCTTCCCCATCCCAACCGCAAGCACTGCAACCCTATCTCCACAGAGTGCAGCAGTAAGGCGGCACACCTTGGTGAAGGTTTTGAAGGAGTGTGGCATGTCGAAGGCTTCCTTCCGCGCTGGTGGTCTGGGTCTAGAGGGTGTAGGGGCACGAACGTCCCCAAATCATCAGGGAATTGGGGTTTGGGAACAGGGCTTGGGCCAGGGCTGTCCAGTTTAAAGAAGGGACTTGACCAGAGGCTTTTGACCTTGGGGTTCACAGGGTCGCATAGGTCCCCTACGCCGGTTCTTTAAAAGCCTGTCACTGCTCGCCCGAAGCACTCGAGAGGGACTTGCGTGGGGCTTGGGCTTTTTTGGCTATGTCATGTTCTCTCAACGTATGGTCCCCTTCTTTTGGGTGGCCGAAAGAGTATGGGTAGCAGTAGCGGGGTGCCCGCAGTAAACGGGAAGAAAGCGGTGACAATCGGGTTTACATGCCAGGGCCCAGACGACACGATCTCCAAGGAAGAGTTCACTCAGCCACCTGCCCACACCTTGTCTCAAGCAGAGGCTTGTGGCTCCAAGAAGGGGTCAGAAAGGTTCGAACCCCTGAAGCAACAGGATCCAGACTCCATGTCAGCCCTAAACCGCCAGCCCTAAAACCCTGTGTGCCTTGCCTGTCTTGTGCGAGTGTGAGCAATAAAAACCCTCCATGCCTTGCCTGCCTCGTGCGAGGGTGAGAGTCGAGACCCTAAAGAGTGTAAGGATTTTGGAGAACGACGAGGCCACAAAGAAGCTGCAGTGCTGTGGGGTCGACATCTACGCGCCGCTGGGAAGAGATGAGTAGAAAATTGAGGATCGGGGGCAGGGGGGCGTGCCAGAGCTCACGCTGCACCCATCTTAGCACCGTAAACTTGGTCCCGCAATGTCACCATGTTGGCTCAAGATGCGCAACGTCACGCTCTGGGATGCAGCGGTCCGAGCCCGACTTGTGGAAACATCAAGTTTGCTCACCAGCGCGGCGAGCTGCGGCGCTGCGAGCTGCGGCGCTGCGCGAACTCGAGCACCGTGCTCGCTCTGTGTCTAGGGCACATGCGGGCCGCCTCGTTGCCGAGGTAAAAGCGACGCACGTTATGTAGTTTGTGTAGCGGCATCTTGTGTTGATGTTGGGGCTGCTTTCATAAACCCTCCAGGGTTTGTTGCAACGCTGGGTCGGAACAAAAGCCTAGTTGGGGCCCGGGTGGCAGCAATAAACCTTGGCAAGGGGGCTTCCGGCCTATTCCGAGCCTCTTGTAGGCCTCTTCCGGGGATCTCCTCTTCTGGCTTCTGCCTCTTCTGGCTGGCCCTTCTGTTATATAATGGCAATCGTTCATGATACAAGTTTATGGGCCAAAACCCCGTCCGAAAGACTTCCGGGCATTAACACCCTGCGTTCAGGTAGTTGTCTCTGTGCCTGCTGCTGCTCACTATGCGCAGCGATTCGAAGTGGCCGCTTGCCGTGCTCTTCTTGGAAGGCTGGCATGTTCAATGTGCCGATCTGTGCCGGTTCGCCAGAGACCGAATCTTCCATCGGCAGTCGCACCTTTCGGTCATCTCTGGTCCTTGTTGCGGGTGTAGGCGTTGGATGCGCTCTCATGAGTACATGAAGGCATGGAGCGCCTTGCGGTTTAACTGTGCGAGAAGACAATCGCCATTCGTCTCGCTGGGTTACGGAGTCAGGTGAGGTGTTTGCCGCCGAATGATGACCATCACTGTGTTAGATGGGCTGTCTTGGACACCTTGCCGAAGGCTCTCGCTCTAATCGAGAATCGAGAATTAGGACGGCTCAGGACTCATGTTGGCCAGGAGCGTGTTGCACGGTGTGCCTTGTTGGCTTTCGCTTGTGCGCTTGCAGTCCATCCCTCAATGGTCAAGGGGGCTGGAAGCTGCACAAGATCTTGGGGACCACGCCAGGTTTCAATTGTCAATGCCTCCGGGTCATGGAGCCCACAGCGGGTGAAGGAAACCTTGCCGGCTTTGGTAGTAGCTCATTGCTTGGAGGTCGCGGGTGTAGCTCTGAGGATAATCTCAATGACGCCTACGATCTTATTTGCGCCATGATTGAACTCCAATTGAGGAGGCGTCTTCAAGCCCTATAGGCGAAGGGATTACAGGGTCAAGTTTATGAGTTTACGGGCGTGTGCTGGCGCCGACCTCAATCCACGCTTCAAAAATGGGGGCGGCAAGAGCTTCCGCTGCGTTTGGCGCCTGCAGGCAGAATCTTCCTGCGACCCCCCTGCCCTGATCCATACACGATCTGGTAGAAGCACCGTACCAAAATCCTGGGCGCGGAGTCCCTGGACCATGTCGCGTTCGCAAATCTATATACCGAACGCAGCAGAGCTGGGCATCTCAGCACAACTCAGCGCCCAAGGATGATCGACGCCACCGACTTCATCTTTGCCCCAGAGCCTGGTGAGAGTACGGTGGCTTGGCCGTGCAAAGTACCCGCTTTCCTGGATGTTGAGGTCATATGGTCTGGATTTGGGGAGGTGTAAAAGTGCCTGTGTGCGTGTGTGATTTTTTTCTGGCTTTCTTCATGGATTTCGGGGCGTTACGTTCGGGATTTCAGCTCCAGGGGCATGGAGGGATTAGTTGCGCACTAGAAGCCCCAAGCGCAACATGCTCCGCTGTGCAGCTTCGTACCAAGAGTCCTATAGTCGCACCGGTGCAAACTTGTCCAGAACTGTTCAGTTCTCTAGTATCGGTGACCTGGGCGGGACTACACCATACACTTTCTACTGAAGGCTCAGAGAGGCTCGCTCAAGGCCTCCTTTGCCGCATTGAGCCCCAAATCCAAGAGCGACCTTAAGCCGCGACTTGATGACTTCGTATGACCTCTGCAAGGGCCCCAAAATCCGACCTCTTGGAGAGGAGCGGCGCCTTAGCTTCCTGGACTTCCTGGACCTGATCCTCTCGCTCCGCGGAACGAACATCGCCACAATGAAGGCAGGGCCAACCCCCCAAACCCTCAAGCGCTGTGGCTTGTCTGCCGGGTGGCCAAAACACACAAAGCTGTTGGGTTTTAGATGGCCTTGGGATTGGCTTCAGGACTCGGGTTGAAGGCGTTGCGTTCGGGCTTCGGGTTTCCCAGAGTTCCGGCTGCATGGCTCGTGGCGCTGTCCTTCGCTACATGGGGGTTTCCAAAAAATTAGGGGTACTTTATTATAAGGGCACCCTACTTTTGGGGTCTATATCAGGGGTCTCTTATTTTCGTAAATGCGCACATCTCAAACTGACGTTGGAGGACACTGCTCCTTGTGTGGCTGTGGCCGGTTAAATCATGCTTTCACCAAGGTTGTCTGCTGCAAGTGCAAGTGCGAGCATGTGTTCGGCAGCAGACACAACCCAAAAAAACCCGCCAAACCCCCCCAAGTCAGAGGGTCCATATCCTCAGAGCTCACAGGTTTAGCGGCTGATGGCCATAAGTCTGGAGTGCGGTCTATGGATTACCAGCATGCAAGGTTGAGCTATGTTAGGCATTCCTCGGCTCGGAACCCCCATGAATGAACACGAAACCACGCCCTCAACTCCTTCAGCTGGAAACCTTGATTGCAAGGACATCGTGGACCTGCGGAAGCAGCTCAAGTCTACCTACGCCGCTCTGAAACCGGGGTCCTCCAGGGTTTCGAAGACTTTGACGAGGGTCTAGAGTCCAGAGATTTGGGTTCTGCGTTTCTCGGGTTCAGGGCTCAGATGAGAGGTCTTTGGGGTCCATGGTGTTCCGGTAAAGGCTCTCTAGCTGGTTCCATTGGTTTACTGCATGTTCTGTTGGGACTAAGAGCCGCTGCTCAGGGTTTCCTGGCGATGATTTTGTCACAGGTAGTTTCCCCACACCCTTGCCTTAAGACCCGGCCCAGGAGCGACTGAAGAGCAAGCAGCTTGCCAAGAGTCGGACGTACGCCACCCTCAGCATGGGACCAGACGACGCCCAGAGAAATTTGCTTGGGACTCCATAAGTGTCACACCTATCGGCCTTTACAAGCCCTCATGCAAGGGAGGCTCCGTCATTTTCAAGTTGAAGCTTTCAAAAAGCGGAAACATGGGAAAATCACTTGAATGAATTCGTTTGTCGAATGTTTGGAGTGCAGCCCTTCAATAGCATTGGAGACATGACGGGAAAACAGGGCAGGATTTTGGGATGAAGGCGTTTTGGGCCTGCGGGGACGGAGGGGGGTTTAGGGTTGCTTTGATGGGCTACTACGATGTGGGAGGGTCGCATCACCTCTGGTTTCGACTCATGTTGCTCAAACATCTGGAAGCTGCCCCCCCCCCCCCCACCCGTTGGCACGCATTGCATGTTTGAGCTCTTTTTTGGTTGTTTTCCGAAGCTGCATCCGCATGGGGGAAGTGCACCGAAACCCCATACCCAGGATGGTGCCGGCCCTATGCGACGAAGCCCCACTGCGCGAGCCTTCTCGGCCTTTCCGGGCCGGTACAGCTCTCCCCTGAGATCCAGGCCCCAGAAAAGATTGGGGTTGATCTGCGGATGGCTTTGCGTGCGAGTCGCGCTTCTTCGCCTAGTGTCTTGTGAGCGCAGCCCTGTTTTTGGTCGGTCGAGGAAGGCAATGGTGTCGATGGTGTTTGACGATCCAGAGCTTCCCAAGTTGGCTTTAAAAAGACTAGTTAAACCAAGTATGCCCTCGTACCCTAGAGCCCGAACCCTGGAGAGCCCCAATATGAAGGGTCCACTCAGCACAAGGAAACAGTGCGCACGAGTGTCGCTGGTGTCATCTCTCGGAGGACCACTTCAGCTGCTCAAGACGCGAACCGCCCATTCATGGACTTGATCCGGAGCCTCGCCGATCCCAAGGGGGGCTTGAAGCCTAGAATTCTAGGGCCTGGGAATTCTTGGTGCGTAGTTCTTGTTTGAATGCCTGACGGATGGCGGCTCTTGGCGCAAGAGTCGGAATGTTCGTCTGTACCATCAAACGAGGAGCTCTTCGGGTTATGGCATGGCGTAACCTAAATAGCTCGAAGAGCTCAGGGTCTCACGTTTGTCATCAGGACGTTGGCGCAGGCCCAAACTGAGCTTCAAGAGTTCCGCAAGCAGGCAGGTTTAGGGTTTGGGGCTTTTCCGGGTGGAGGAGTTTGACCCCAAGCCCTCTAAAGCCCCAAGCCACATATTCGGACACAAGCCCAGCAGTGCCCCTGTTTGGGGTTCAGGGTTTAGTGCGTGTGTTGGAGGTTTCTTGGGTCGTGTATCTGGAGCCTGCTGCTCCAGGAGTGGAATTGTGCGCAGCATGAAGTCCTTTCCGAAAGTCCTGATTCGCGCTTGCTGGAAGGAGCAGGGAACCGTGAACTGCACACGTGGGACGATGGTCTTGTCTTCGGCCCAGACATGTTGGGTCCAAACCCTTCCCCCGAACCCTATAAACCTGCCAAACATTCAGCCGAAGCCTCGTCCAGAGCCCGCAAACCGGTTCCAAGCCATTTTCCGGGGAGGCAGCGCCCCTTCTCTCGGCGCCCTGGCACCAGGATTTAGGATGTTGAGTTTCGCATCCCCCCTACTCCCAAAAATTCCCAGTGCCAAAGTGTTGCACGACGCCATAAACGCCACACCTCCATCCTAAACTTCCTAAACCTTGAAATTTCAATTGGCCAAACGACTCTGAGGTTTTGTTGGTGTGTTTATTGTTCGGGGTGTGAAGGTTTAGGGTTTTAGGGTCAACGAGTGCTGCAGCACTCGTATGCGGGGGCAATACGGGCAGCAACGCGAGTCTTTTGAAAAAAAAGGGTTTACGGGAAGGGTTTGGAGCTTCAGCATTTGAGGTTCTAATTTCTTAGGGTTCAGTCAGAGAATTGTCCCTGGGCCTCCGCGGCCTTCGTCGGGGATGTGGGGAGGGACTGTGCAGTGGCTTGCGGGATGGGAGGCGAGGCTTATATACATGTGTTCAGGTTCAGGGCCTGCTACGGCTCAAGTTTGGCTACGAGGCTCTAATGAGCATACTGTTCTATAATTCGCTCGCGCGTTTGCTGCAATGGATTCATCACCGTCTGGGAAGCGAAAACTGGTGTCTTGCCTAGCTTATTCCTTGAGATTATCCACCAGACTGAACTATCGGATGACAGCTAGCATCTTGAAGTGCACCCTACAAGAGTTGTGCGATCATCCGGCCGTATCGACTCGAAGAACCATCAGCTTGTATGGCGCCCTGCATGTTGACGACGGCGCGTGGCATCAACATAAACCACAGGGGGTCGGGCTGCATCTGCATGAGGCCGAGAATCGACCAAATGATGCGGATGACTATGGTGAGTGTGCTTCATCCGGTGCGGGTGGGGTAATGTCAATGGGGACGCAAACTACGCACAGGGTCTATACTGATGATGAGTGCCGGAACATCGCTCAGACTTTGGTGGCAAATGTGGTGGCAACGACTGAGGCCTCTCTTCAAACCTTACAGAGACGGATTTATGAACTCGAACGAGATGCGGGCCTCTGCGAGCTTGAGCAACCAGGCTCAGGTGAGGCAAGCCTCCCGATGCAACCTTTCGGTCCAGCTCTGGATGATGCAAGAGAAGAGAAACCTCGTGAATCCTCGGTTCAACCTTTCGGTAGAGTTCTCGATGATGCAAGCGAAGATGAACCTTGTGAGTCCTCGCAGTGTCTTGATTTGCCTGAAAATGCGGGCATACAAGCTTTAATTGAGCAGCAACGATTAAGGCGCTTAGCTATCCGTGACTTACGTCGCATTTCTAGGGTCTTCTCTGCGAAGTTGTAGTCTGGCTGTTGCTGCATGCGCTTGCTCTTACTCACCGTAATTCGCACACTTCTGACTGTCCCGCTTACACTTTCACGGGGGTAGCCACGAGAGCTGTCCCTGGCAGGCTTGACGTTTCGAATGCCTGAGAGAGAGAGAGAGAAGTCTGGGTTGCAGTTGGTTTTAGGAGCCGTTGGGCTTCAACCCTCAAACCCTCCAAACCCTGAGCCTAGTGAGCTCGGCACGAAGGAAGAGGCGCGCGCAGACCCGTCGGACGAGACGCTCCGAGACGGCAATGAAGGGAGATTAGAGATCAGCCGGGGATCAGGTTCAAATGCTGTCTTCATCATTCTTGTGCCTTGACATGGCGTCTGTGCGGGTCTTAGTGGGCCTCGTGACGATGCTGATGGGGTGTTGACGGCATTGCTTCCTTCTTGCGCGCATAGTACTGGCTTCAACAAGGCCACTGCCCCTCCCGCCCAACCCTAACCCTAGACCCTAAACCTCAGACTGGCACCACGACCTAGGTTGATTCTTCGCACCGACAGCCCCTGCCTGCCAGGCGGGGGTTGGCAGCAGGTTACGAGCCATGGCCGGCATCTCTTGAGGGGGCCTAGGTTGATGAGGGTAAACTCGGCATGGGTGGCTCTGCAGCCCGCATCCGAACCTCAAATCGGAGAGATATGAAGAGCCCAAATCCTGTAATTTTTTAGACTACGTCTGAAGATGCTGCCCTGGACCCAGTTGAAGGAGGGTACTGTAGGTGTCAGTCTAGATGTGAATTCCAAAGCCCGGCTTGAACGTGCTGAACCTCTAAGTCATCACGTTGCCCGGAACCCAGGGCAGGGCCTGCATCAGCTGCAGAAGTGTCGTGAGTTGAGGGTAAAGCCATGGAAGAAGAACTCCAGCTTTTGAAGCTTAGAGGCCCTTAGGGCAGCATGTGCTTGCGAGTTTCCAGCTGAGCAATCCTGGCTCCTTCTTGCAAGTCAGGGACAGGTCTAGCAAAAGAGGATGTTGTAAAGCTCGAGATTCATGGTCTGAACCCCCAGAACCTCGAAATCTTCAGATCCCCAGATCCTCAACCCCTCCAAGCAAAACCCAAAGAGTGCGAAGAGTGGGAAAGACTGGGCGAAGGGTATTGTAGGACCATGTAGGACCTGAACTTTGAGACTGAAGGTTTCGGGTTAAAGGAGAGAAAGTTGCAGCAGGCCATGCGCAGGGGCCAAATCAGCCGGAAGAGGCTGGAGAGCTTTTGCGAGCTACCCCGGGTGCTTCTTCGAGAGCTCAGGGGGTTCCAAATCATCTGATCCTTGGTGCCCCATGCCCGCCCTCCCTTTGGAGTTTAGAGATCATCATTTTGGACCTGCTTTGGTGTGTCTCGGCCCCACCCCCCCTCCCCTCTCTCTGCTCCGGGTCTTTAAGAAAGGCTGTGCTGCAGCTACCTGGGTTTGGGGGTTGCTAGGGTTCTGTGGTTCAAGTCCTTGGTGGTCCGAAACCGCAAAAAAGAACAGACAGGAACTTGTGACTCACTTTCTGATTCCATGCAGCAGTTGTACACGTGTTCGCACAGCAACAGCGGAGCGCAAAGCAGAACGCCTTAAATCCGAGACGTGAGACACCCAGCCCTCATCCCATGCGGGCACCAGCCCCCTACAACCTTGCGCCGTGTTCTTACGCAGACTGAGACGGAGTCCGCTTTGTCTGGTCTTAAATTCTAAGCTAAAAACCACCCTAAACCCTGCCAAGCAGACCTAAAGCCAGCCTTTCCGCAGGCCTGGTCACAGGAAACGCTCCGCCGCAGCGATGCCGGCCTACAGGAGCTGCAGAGGCGGTGTTGGGGTTTTGGGTTTTGGGTTTGGGGTGTAGGGTTTTGGGCTTAGGGTTTGGGGTTTAGGTTTTACTACCATTTGCTCCCTGAAAAGAGTAAGAATGTGGGGATTATCATCGTTTTACTTTTGTGGGGGTTCTTAAGCCAAGAGTAGTTTACGGCTTTGGGTTTGAGGGTTGAGGAAGGTTGGGGCTTTCGAGGTCGGAGTAGGGAAGAAGGTTAGGTTCCTTAGCTTCTGTTTTTGGGGCGGGGTCGGAGCAGGACTTCACGATATTGAGAGTGAGAGAGGAGCCATCTCGGATTCATGTAGTAGCAATGACCCGTAGCTTGTCGCAGTCGCAGCCATTTCAGTAGAGTCTTGGCAACAGTAGTTGTCGTAGTTATCCCTTCGTAAGCTTAACTTCACCCCCGTCCGTAGTATAAGAAGTTATTGCTCGCTTCCCTCGGTTTCCTGAGTCCCTCAAAAACAGAAAGTTATTCCGGGGTGGACTGACCTGAAAATCACAAACCCGAAGCCCAAAGCCGCCCTGGATTCTTAAAAAACAGAGGTTTCAATAAACGGGGAAGGGATGAACGGCACGCACAGTCGTCGTGGTCGTAGTGGTAGCGGATCGTTGCACCGTCAGTACATCCCTGCACACCTTGCCTTGACATTGACCCACTTTGTGCAAGAGTCATGGCAGGTCCGTCGATGCTGGATTGAAGATGCTCCTGCAGCATGCTACGGCCTTCAAAAAGAGTGTGTGAGGTGTCCGCTTATCCATGGGGTGGGAGGGGGGCAAAGCAACTGGGCTCCAGGTACCCCACCCTGCAAGCGCAAGAGTTCTGGTTTATTGGAGACGGGAGAGGTCTCGTCCTCCCATGCCCGGCCGGACAGCCGAAGATGTGCCGCGAACCCAGAACCCTCAAGGCTAAAAGAGCCAAAACGGCAACCCAACCCGGCGATGCCTACTGACAAACGCCTGAGCCCTAAACCAAGACCTGCCGCTTCTTTGGGCGGCCAAAAGTACCCTCGACCTCGCGCGCGTGCGCGAGCCTGGCAGCTCCTGAACCGGATTTTCAAACGAAGGCTGCGGCTCCGGAGAGATTCAACACACGAAGGGCAGGGTTTTCGGAGGGATTCAGAGAGGTGCAGGGACTGGAGGTTTATGGATTGGGCGTTGACGTTGAGGGTTGTTGAGGGTTGCCCTAAACCCTAAACTCTAAACCTTCTGACACAAACAAACCCTCAACCCTAAACCCTAAACCTGTTCGAGTGAGCGACGAAACCCTAAACCTGTTGCTTGCAGAGTGCTTGGGCTGAGCTGTAGCAGGTCTTCAAGGCTTAGCTCAAGGGTTGGGTAGCCTGCAGCAGCTCTTGGCCAAGGCCTCGTGTATGTGTATCCTTACGAGACCTGCTGGGGAATATGAATACAGACATAAATATAAGCATAAATATAGATATAACTATAACAAAGTATATATATATATATATTTATTGATTTGTTTATTTACATGTATATGCGCACCGGTACATAGCACGTGTAGAGAAATATATGTGTACACACACACACACAATGATTTCCCCATCCCTGTCGGTGCGTATTCATTTGTGTCTAGCTGTCTCTCTCTCTCTCTCTCTCTCTCTCTCTCTCTCTGTATGTGTGTGTAAATACATCTCTATCTTGTAGAGGTATCGCAGGCCCAGAAGGAGTATACACAAAGTGAACCCTCGAGGCAGGGCGCCTTCAGAAGGTCGGGTTCGGGAGAGCATGTTGGGGGGGGTTTGTCCCAAGATGGGCGGCTTTCCTCCTCGTCGGTCCGACGAATGTCCGCGTCGCAGAATGTCAGTTTGGGAGCCAAGACCCACTCCGTCTAACGGCACTGAGGGTTATATGTTGCAGCACTGAACGCCGCAAAGGGTTTTTTTGGGGGGGCTGCAAGGCAAGGGACTCAGTCGAACTCAGGGGCTTTGGGCACCGTGCACGATAATCGTAGTTGGTTGAAGTGCTTTCTGGATTTTGGTGAGATTGGGCATCGGGTAGAAATCTGAAGGGCCAGGGTGTTTGGGCAAGCAGTTGTGTTCTTCACGCTACCCTGGGAGAAATTTCGTGGCATGAGTACAGCGTGCTTCTCGAAATTCCTTCTTGGCTCCGAGACGAAGTGTGTGTGCAGATGGCCAAGCCATCGTCCGCACAAGAAGGAGCCAAAGCTTTGGAAACACAAACCCTAAAACCCAGGTCCAACAAGTCTTATCGGAATATGCGAATGCCCAATCCCTCTAGATCTCATTTCTATCGCTCCTCTAGGAGACCCATGGTTTGCCTCCACGGCTATTGGTTTCCTTCGCGTGTACGTTTTCGCAGCGCGGGAAAAAGAAGCTTCGTGCCTGATCCTTGTTCAGGGGTGTGGTTGGGTCCTGCTGCCGAGGTCACAAGAGCTCATGGGGCTTGGCCATCAAAGTTTGGGATGTCTAGGATCAAAATCAAAACTGCCTCGAGGTGTAGCCAGAACAAAGTGGGAGAGTGGGACCCAGGAGCCCTTTGAAGTCAATTCGCAGAGTCACCAGCTGGACAGACTCTGTAACCCTAGACTCCCCAAACCTCGGACCTCAGAGCCATTGCAAGACCCCGACATGAACACGCTTGCATCCCTGCAAATTGAACCCTAAACCCTAAACCCTGTTACTGTCATAGCAAGCCGGAATGTCGAAGCTTGAGGAACTCTGAACCGTGCCGGTAGCCAGGCGGTGGTCAAGAAGATGCCCCGGCGACGGTGGCCAGCTCCCCAAGCGTTCTGAGAATCCGGTCTTTGGACTCCTCTGGCCCCAAAGCCCAAACTTTCTAAGATGCTTAGCCACGTAACACAGACAGAATCCGTAGGGCATGAGGAAAGCCGCTCCCGGAATCTCAGTACGAAGAGCCATGAGTGGTGGCAGAGTCATGGTAGAAGTCGGGATTCGATTCGCGCCCCTGGGCTGCCAACAAGGAAGGCAGCGGACTTGCCGTGCACCCCGAAAAAAACTCGATGCTTTGACCAAGACCATGTGTCATATGCGGTCGCCCTGAAGCTTGCATTGACAGTGGAGCATGAATCTCCCATGAAGAGCTCCACTCTCACTTCCAAGACTCAGGATGAGTGTTCAGGACCTCGTGACCGAGGTGGCCACCATCTGATGTCAGGATTGTTAAGATGCCCACTGTCGTTGCGCCATTTGTTTCAAGTATGGGACCTGTTCATGGAAGCCTCTTGGCAAGTATCGCCAAAGGGTGGAAGGCTTCTCAACCGTTTTCTTTGTGCCCCTGAACCTTGGAGCCTTGCCGGGCTAGTGAGAGCAACAACCGAAAGTGTTGTTCTCAGAACCTAGCATGCCATTTGGGTGACTTCCTCTAGTCCGAGCATGTGTGCCGGAAGCCTTGCTGTGCACTTCTCTCATCGCTACGTTTTCTTGCATTGGGATGCAAGGCTTGAAAGCTGGTTCCCAATAAACATCCCTGGCCTTGCGGGCACATTCTCAGGCCAGCAAGGCAGGCGGCAGAAATAGCAAGGCCTTACGTTGCAAGGACCACCTGGGCCTGAGATCCACAGCCCCAACGTTTAGGGCGAGTTTGAGAGGCCCTCACCCTTGAAGGCCCTGGAGGGTTTTAGAGGAGACGATGGGAAACCCAGTATCTTGTCTCTTGGTAAGTTCACGAAAGGCCCCAGAACTTAAAGATGACTGTATAAACGGCCTTTGAACATGAAACTTGTCGTGTTTGATGGGGTCCTTTTCTGCCCATGTCAGCTCGTAACTCTTGGCAAAAGGCGTATGTTTAGCTGACCGAGACATGCCCACGGTGGGGTCTTTGACCCTCAAGAAAATCCTCACGGCTGCTAGGGTCCATCTTCGGAATGTAGGGCTTGGAAGGTTTTAGGCTTGGGGGTTTGGGGTCCGGGGTTTTGTCAGGAAAGCTTCAAAAAGTTAAGACTTTCCTGTCACATTCAAAAAAGGGATTTGGTGGTTTTGGGGGGGTGTTTAGGCTTGGGCTCTGCGTCTTTGAGAGGTGGAGCAGGCGCTTGTGCAGGGCGAGCGGCTGGGCAAGGACCTCTTAGCAAAAAAACCCTACATGACGGCGTCCTCGGTGTCTGACAGCCTTTCCTGACCTACAAGTCGCAGCAAAGCGAGCCACTCTTAATCAATCTTGGTGCCAGTCTTCCCCAAGATTGAGCTCGTCGTGCAGGATTCCACAGCCTACGAGAATCTCCGGCGAGAGGCCAGCAAACCCCGGACCCACAAAAAGGTTCCACGCCGTCTGGGGGGCTAAGGATGGCTACTTGCAGGTTTTGGGTTTAACAGGGCGAATAGACCCTAACCCCTCTCTCCCCCCCAGAAAAATAGTTCGACCTAGCCCCGCAAACCCTAAACGGAAGTTCGTCTTATAACAGTGTGGAGAATGCTTACGTTCTGGGCTCCATGCTGTCTCCATAACTAATCTCCACCGTTCAACGACCTCCAGACCTTGCCGGCCGAGTGCGAGAGTGAGCGTCGAAACCCTAACCCATAAACCGCTAGGTAGGCCCTTGGGATAAGTCATATTTACCCTTAATTGGGGTCATGTTCTTCCCTCAAGTCTTGTGTTCATTTAGGAATCTGTTTTCAGAGTGTTTTCATCTGCCATCCTCGCCCAAGCCCGGCCTCTCCAGGCCGTGTCCCTCCGGCTCGAGAACGACGTGCTTACGGAGCAGGTAGCCGAGCTCGAGGCCTATGATACTAGGTAGTAAGATGACAGTATGGCAGTATCACAATAGAACGACAACATCGCAGACAACATAAACATGTCAAATTAATTACAAGAATAGACCAATAATGACACAATGAAACAATAATGTATCCAGAAGTGTAGAAACATAGTAGTTCACGGCAGAGAGAGAGAGAGAACAAGAGAACAGTCTGACCGTGCACTGATACAATGATACGATCTTATGCAGTATAGGTTATGATTATTTTATTATTTCATTGGCGTCAGGACCAGAATCAAAAGGGTTTTAGCGCCGGTGGGCCATCAAGAAGGGGACTCCAGGTTTGAGGAGGTCAGCATTGGAAGCCCTCACGATGGGCGTGGGGGATGATGGGGGACCCACCGTGAAACGACTGCAGCTGCAGTGCTTTCGCAGGAGGCTCGTGCGGAGTATGTGGCACAGGAGGCAAGGGCTGGGAGGTTTATCTATGTCTGACAGCGTGGTCGCAAGGCTTGGAGAGATACAATTGGTTTTTTCAGGGAGCTTGGGGCTGGGAGGTGCGGATTTGCTACATCACATCCTGATTTCAGTTCGAGGAGATGAAGGGATGATGTTCCCACCCAGGCACCCGAAAAGCTGGAATTCACCGAAGTCGGAACACGCGCCATGGCTTTGCCATGGGGTTTGTAGAGCTTAGGGTGCAGAGGTGGTGCGCTCTAACCCCCCATCCCCACGCAAACCCTGCTGATCTTCATGTAGCCTCGACAATCCCATTGCCTCCAGGAGCAGTTCACTGCCAAGCTGAATGCAAACGGTGGCTTTTTTGCCCACGAAGAGGCGCCGGTGATGGGCAGGATAAGAGTTCAGGCTAGTAGTATGCCTAGTATGCAACGTGGGCATGAAGGCAGCAAAGACTCAGAGTCTACCAAGACAACGGTTCAAAATAGTTTGGTTGAGGTCGGCTTTTCAGAATCCTCTACCCTCGCCTCAACCTGCAGAATCCCTTCACCCCTGCGGGCTTCCCAGAGGAAGTGGTGAACATGACGGGCAAGATTCGGGAGGTCGACTACAAAATTGCCCTTTGTCAGCAATGTTGGGCGAGAACCCCGAGCCCTGCACGTGAAATCGAAGCCCCCGTGTTCATGCAGAAAGGCTGTGAGACAGCGCGGCCGATTTGCAAAGCTGCAAGCGGAGCTTGCCAGGTTCAGTTGTTGGCCCCCCCCCCCTCCTCGCTTCGATCTGACAGTTGGCCCAGGCTGGACTCAGACATAAGCACTACCACAACATCAAGGCTGGAGTTGGAGCTGACAGTCAGGTATGTCCGGCTGAGCCGGAGTTCGACAGCATGCGCACGCCTGAAGAGCAGCCAAAGCCCTAATTCAACTATGACCGGGCCACAAAAAATCAGAAAGATCATAAACGTCCTCATCAATCATAATTATCATAAAAAATCATATTATTCATGATAGTCATGATAATCATGATCCTCATGGTACTCATAATTCTCCTACCAGTCATCAAAGCAAGCAGGACGTGGGCTCCCTGAAGCGCACGATGTCCCTGATCGAGAAGCGGGGCGAGGCCGGGATCAAAGGGTCTAGGATGGGCTCGTGCAAGTGTAAGTAGGAGTGCAGGAGCACCAAATGGGGGCTTCCGAAATTAGGGGTACCTTATTGGGGTCTTTATTCTGAGGGTATCCTACTACTTGGGGTCTATATGAAAGGGGTCCCATATTTTCGTAAACCCCCGAATTACCTAGGGTCAGTCAGAACTAAGGTTGGGCGAGTTTTGTGCAGGATTGGGCACCATCCTAAACCCGTCCTGAAGCCCAGGTGACTACAGTCCTTGACAAGGTCAACGAGGCCCTGGAGAGAGGGGAGGCGCGTGCGGTAGAGTGAGGGCGAACCTTGGGGCGGTGAGCATAAAATGGGCGCCTCCAAAATTAGGAATACTCCGAATTCACCCCCGCCCCCAAACATGTTGGTAAGTTTGTACTATTACGGGACCCCCCCCCCCCCCCCAAGAAAAAGAACCGACAAACGTGGGGGAGACACTCGCGATTCCACTCACTTCTCCCTCCGTCGCACCAGTGGAGTGTGCAGAGCCCAGATGCGGCCTAGGGTTTAGAGGTGAGGGCTATGCCATTTCTCGAGCTCAAATGGCCCGTGGGAAGGGGAGCAGCGTTGTAAAGGAAGAAGACGTGAGTGAGAAGCCCCCTAAGCCCTCAAGACCCTGGCATATGTTGGGTTGATAGGGTTTAGGGTTTAGGGTTAGCTTCCGCCCTCTTCGCAAAGCAGGTTCTCGACGAGCAAGGTGAAGAGGCTCGCAGCCTCCAGGAGCAGGTAAGCCGTCTGAGGAGAGAGCCTCTCGGCCTGGGCTTAGGGACCCGCAACGTGGCCCTTCACAGCCCAAACACAGCCCTGACATTCAACTCAGCCTTCCAATCGGCCATGAACACCACGATCCAGCAACAGAGCAGGTTCCAGTGCATGCCTTTGCCGGATATTAAGGTCCGAAAAGGTCTGGCCGAAGATCACCTCTTACGAGAAGGACATCTCGACATTCAGTGCGAAATTGCAGCTTGGCTTCGTTTATCAATTTTGAGAGCATTCAAGTATAGACATCAACAGGTTCGGGCGTCGCGTGCGTCGTAGCTCTGGACTGTGCCAAAAAAAGCGCCTACCCAGCCTTCCTGTGCCCCAGCTGTACCTCTGACAGCCCATGCTTTGTTTCGCCTGATGCTTTGGCTCGCCCACGCATGCTGCATGAGAGTGCCTGAGAGTCCCTTCACCACGCCGAGCCCTCATGGGTGGTTTTTGTATCTTCCACCACGGGACAAGCTGACAAAGCATTTTATGAAGACTTTCCCGGACATTCCCATAAGGCTGAGGTTGTAATCTGCTCGATAGATAACATATTGATCCCTTTTCGGGTGCCCTAGAAGTGGCTGCCTACAGTATGGCCAGAGTGCAGGGACTCCCAAAACTACTATATCTTGAAGAGGCACCTAAAACTCATCAGCCCTAAAGAAGCCCGAGCCCCGAAGTCCTTACGACTTCCCTTGCAACCTCTAAGGAATGCAAGTCTGAAAAACCCTACCCCCGAAGCCTTAAACACTCCTAAAGGCCCCAAGCCCCTCACAACCCCTCAGAACCCCTCATAAGCTCTGAAAGGCCTTTAGAAACTCAACGCCTGAAAAAAATTGTAATATGACCTCTTTGAAAGCTTATGACGCCTTAAACTTTGGAATAATGGGCCCTATAAACAACCCTAAAGCCACTCCAGGTCGGAGACGCAAAAGCAGCTCCATTCCATTCGGGACACGCCCACGCGCGAGGCGGACGACCTAAGGACACACCTGAAAGCGGAGATCAACCAGGCGCGATTTCAGGGCCGAGAGGTGTTTAGGGCTCTTAGGCGAATACCAATGTGTTCCCTTGATTGGGTTTGAGGGGGGTCTTGTTCAGGGGAATTGTTTCAAGGCGGGTTCTAAAGGGTCAACATATGATTCGGCCTACAGGGGCACCTTCAAGAGTATCCGTTTTGGGGTAGGCTTGGGGTCAGTCTGCAGCTCCAGTGGCGAGGGCCCCCGGCCGGGGGTTGAATCTGTCGGAGTGTACCATGAATGCAGGACTTCGGGCTTTCGCACAGGATTGTGTTTACGCATCGTCAACAGCTTCGCTGCCCTTCGCTGACCTCGCCATGGGCTGGGACAGCGCGGCGTCAGGGCTGTAGTGGTGGCACTCCACATGCTTTCAAACATGCACAAACTGCAGCCTTTGCCATTCTGCAAACGTTCTGGCAGGTGAAGCGGATGATGGCTCAGTTGGGACGGCTGCGCGACATCCAGCGGGTGAATGCGCAGGCTAAGACGTGCTGTGGTGTAGATTGGCGCTCTGTTCTACTCTCTCTCTCTCTCTCGCTTGCTCTCTCTCTCTCTCTGTCACTCTCTGCCTCGTGTCCGTTCTCGCCTAACCTCACCTATGCCCTATGCCAATGCACACAAGCATACGTCTACCTCGAGAGAGAGCGGTTTTGGATCGACACGCCCACAACACGAGCCCCGAGTCATGCCGTGTAGGAGGCCACTTGCAGGTTTCAGGTGAAAGGGGATTGCGATGGGCAAGACAAGAAGAGGCTTGCGTCGGGGGAGGTCGCGCTTCTTAGTAGGAACGAAGAGCAGCTGGCCGTGAAGGAAGGGCAAGCAGCCGACTCACAGGGTTGTGCAAACCTGGGAAACTGTGCAGACTAGGGAGTCGCGAGCGAGTGTCGAACTCCAGGAAATTTCAACGGCATCTGTGACTGGGGAATTGGATTGGCCTTCCCACGCACTGGATAGGGTGACAGCGAACGAGCTTGCACAGGCCCTGCGATGGGGCCTACTTGATATTGGGGCATGTTTCGGGGTATATGACGCGGTCGTGCCAACAGTGAACCGGAAACATTGCGGGCGCGACTGGCGCAGGAGGCCCTGTGACTCCCAAAGACCTGGAGAACAAGAAGCGAGAACAAAGCAAAGTTACCTGTATGGTTCAGGTTCATGTACGCATTCTCCTGTGCAATATGCGGTGCTCCCACATGTAATGCACACGTTGGAGTGCACTAGAGCACCGCTGCGGCGGCTTGCAGGAGATCGGCATGGTGGAGCGGGTCCGGGCCAAACTCTCCAAGCAAGTGCGTGTGCGAACTTCAGCTGCATGATCTCCAAGGCGCACGGGCACCTGCAAACCCTAATGGTTGTCGACACATGCCCAGGAAAACTGTTGGCAGAGGGGAACGCGGACGAATTGGCAGACAAGATCGCAAACTTGCAGGACGACACAAACAGGCCCGTCTTTCGATTGCTCGGCTTCCGTGCAATCTTCCTGCTTGTAGGACGCAGTCCGTGTTTGCAGGGATGCTGCGTGCCTGGAGTAGTTGCCAAAGGCGACGTGTCACGTTGCACGATCATCATTCTTTTGGTTGCTGGTTGTTTGCTTGGTTCATGTGGCTAGTTGCTGTGCCACCTGGCGTAGCATGTGTGTTCTTACATTGAGCGAAGGGACTAAGTTGCATTCCATCCGTCAGATGCTTCTACAGTTCATCTTCGCGGGCGACTAGCCTTTTCAAACCGCGCGTTGTCGAGGCCCTCCAAATCCCAAGCCCAAGCTTACTTCTTTCTGTCGACCCTAGAGTCCAACTCCTCCTATGGGCCCTAAAGCCCTGACCACTAATGATGCCTTAAGTGCGAATTCCTGGAGGCTACGAACCACCATCAAAGACCTGGAAGGCAGGCTTCAGCCCCTCACCAAGGAGGCTGCGCATGAAAGGGCGTGGGAGAGACTCTTTTACACGGGGCCGTCCTAAATTCCTGCGAATAGCAACCACGTACAGCCAGGAAGGACACTCGGAGCGAAGTTTCTGACCTGGCTTCAGCAGCAAGGGGTTTGTCGGGGGAGGGGGGCGGAGATCGTGTTGCAGTTGCCACATCCTTCTGCCTTTGCCGTGCCAAAACTTTTGAGCCCCAAATGAATATAAACTATAGACTGGTCAGTCCACATCCTAAGCATGAAACCGCCCGGCTCTTGCGAGGCAGGTGTCATCATCACCAAGCTACGAGAGATGCCCTTTGAGTTCACCACAGAGACGGGCAAGCTTCTTGGCCAGCTTCATGTGGCTCCGTTTGGAGGCTCTATCCGTCTATCCTCATCAAACTTCAACCATCGGTTGGCGCTGCAACTGAACTTCAGGATTCATCAGGGACTCTTGATACTATTGGCAGATGGTGGATTGTATTCCCCCCCTCCCGCAACCCCAGATTTGTTTTGCATGACCGTCTCAGCTAAGGCTCCGCGAGCAGCTGATTGCCAGCATCCACCAGGCCCAAATGAATCCAATGCTGTTGCACACTTCACACTTCCTGAGAGAGGGCTCGGGAGTTTGGGATGCTATTTTGCCGCGTAGAGAGAGGAATGACTGCAGCCTAAACCCTGCACGAGAGGGGGGGCCCGAAGCTTTCAACTTTCGCGCATTGATCTTTGGGCGTTACGGCAATGCATCGCTTGCGACACTCCGCCCGTCTTTGAAGGGTCAGGTCCGCAACCCTAACCCCTACGTGATTCAGGGTTTTGGCTCGGGCTGCGATGCACGGCACGATCCAAGGAATCGCACTGGAAAGAGCGGCTAGCTGCAACTGGGCGGCATGGGTTTTTTAAGGAGTTTCTGGGCGGTCCTCCAAAAATGTATTTCCTTCTGGAGGTACTCTAAAACTAAATGCAAGCCTCCGTGCAGAAGGGATCTTAGTTTAATTCGGCAGCTGGGCAAGCTTGCGGCCGTCTTCGGTCCTGAGCATCCCACGGACTCTTGGGGGAGACCGTGGCAAACAAAGCCTCCGAAAACCCCCCACACCCCACCTGCACCTTACGGCATACCATTCAGGTCCTTCGCGGGGAGAAGTTGCAGAACATCCGTTACATTGCCTTGTTGAAGAAGGCGCTGTCCCAAAAGACTTCCTGATTTTGATCATTGCCGGGGCCCTCAGCAGGGCCTGCATAGCAATATGCTCATATCCATATAAACCATCGAGCAAAACAAAGACATACAAATATTAACATAGAATCATTTAGTACTGTAACAACTAAATAATAGAACAATCTGATAATATAAAATCTATGTTGGATTTGCCCAAATGTATTTGAGTATTGCCTGAGGTCGTCGTCGAAGTCCCAGAGAGGGGCTGTGGCACAGGTTTTTCGTGCGGACACCCCCCGTGGGGTGGAGTCCTTGATAAGAATATTGTCCGACACCTGTACAGCCGGTAGCTTCTTCGTCGACAAGAGGCTGGCGTGGTATAGGGGACTGGTAGTCACGGGATGGCGAGTCCTCAGAGAAAGCGCTAGACTCTACCAAGCCACGCTGCCGCACCTTAACTTTGCAAAGAGCTTTAGGATGTACGCTTTCGGGTTCAGACTTCGACAGTTCCCGCATTCGTCTTCTCCTATAGGGCGTGCGGAGCAGAGGATCGCCATCTGCGTGTGTCAAGGAGGACCTTCGGGGGCGCCCATGCGTAGTGGCTTGAGATTGCGCACAGGGCGCCGTATGCAAAGCTCTATGATGAGCCGCTGCATGAGTGCCCTCGAAGTTCCTCGGAGGTTGTGCGCTGCACCGTTCCAACGTTTAAGTTCCCCTCGCCTCGGCAAGCTCCTGTCCGCCCGGTGTTGCATTCTTTCAGTATAGGGGCCTTAATAATTAATATTTAGAATAGGGTTTCAGGGGTTACTATAGTACAAATATATGTAGGTTTGTGGGCCTTGAGTCCCCAAGCTCCCGTGCTCCACCCTTTTAATCCAATCGGGTTCGTTTGGTCGGTTGTGTTGCCTTATTTCCTCAGAATCTGGAGCATATAAGCCCGAGTTCCCGTAGGTGTTTGGCCCCCTCCAAGCTTTGGGGAGAAGGCGATCGAAGATCTCGGGTTTCTGGCCAAAGGATCCCTCTCAGCTGTGGCCTTTTCAGCTTTAGGGCAGGGCAGGGTTCCTGTAGAGCTTTGGGTCGGACATTGCAAGTGGTGGAATCCGGTATGTGCCACTCACATTCACCAAGATCTGCGTGGTAGAAGTGCAGACGACGGTTTAGTCTTCAGCAGACTCTGGCACATTCTCGTAAGGGGTTCGTGGGAACCCAAAACCCCAAACTCCTCCCCGCGTTTGCATGTGAAGTGTGAGAGTCGAAAAGCGGGCAGTGCTTGTGCCCCTGGGCGGGTACTCCTCCAAGCTGTGAGGTGTCTGATCGGTTGCCACACGCACCCCAAGCCCTTCAAGAAACTCTCAAGCCCTTCCAGCCTGAAACCTGATACCCTAAAGCCCAAGATCTTCAAGCCTCTGGGGCCTTGTAATTATAGGCAGTTCGGGGATTTAGAGGGCTCAGGGCATTTTGACGTAGGAGGCTCATAAAGGTTAGATAGGCCCAAGAACTGCCACAAAAGGGAAACTCTGATCCTTGGAGTAATGAACCGTGAGCCTGGCCCTACAAGGCTTAGGACGTCAGACCCTGACTTCAGCAGCCTCGACGTACCTCTCGCCGCAGTGGCGCCGGAGACGGTCATCCCCTGCTCAACAACTTGGGGATATGAAGTGTGGGCTAAGGTTAGTTGCATACGATGGCTTATGGGGCTTGAAAGCTGTCGGGCCTGAGCCCTACTTGATTCGCCTCTCCAAAGGCTTCTGCCCATCGCAAAAGGGCCGATCGGCGCCGCTGCAGGATGCGCTCTGGACCACCAGCCGCGCAAGAATGGCCATCGCTGTTTCTGAGCTGCTGAGCGCGCGCCGTCTTGCTCCCGGAGCACGCTGAGTCAGGGCAGAAAGAGTATCGGGTGTCTCAAGCATGGCCCACCAACCACTCACAAAGACGGCCACACCCGAAGCCCACATCCTCAAACCATGAACTCGAATCCTCAACCCACAAGCAAAACCCCTTTACCGAAGCAACTGGCAACGAAGCCCTTTCGCGAACTGTGTCGCTCCTGCCACTTCGGCCTAAAGAAGAGACGCATGGCTTCGGGTAGGGCATGGTAGGGCCAAAGTTCTGACAAGCGAGCAGAGATCCCGCCCCAATCATTCTATCTGGATGCCCCTCGGCTCTAGTCGTTGCCACGGCATGTTTTTGCGAATCTCAATGTTCAACCCTGTCACAGAATGCTTGCACATCTTGCAGGTCTTCAAAGGGATCCTTGCATAGGGGAAGGGGAAGACTACCACGGGAGGATTCCCACTCCAAGCCGCACTTCCCTCTTGGCTCCAGCTCTGGATCCAGAACGGGGGCGGGGTTCATGGTAGGGTTCAGGGTTGAATGCCCCCCCTTTCACTGTTCGCTTGGGGCCTCGGGCGTGTAGAGGGGGCTTCAAGCTCAGCCTATAGTTCGTGGAAAAGGAGCCCCCCCCCGCGGGTGCTTTTAGGCATAGGCTGGCAGCGGTCTAACCCATGTGAGAACGCCCACTATGCACCTCTGAAAAGCTAAGGGCACAACCCCTAGGAAACTCCACCGGGAGCCTCATAAGTGGCCGAACACGACTTACCTACACCGGGCAAAGCATTGGGAACACGCTCAATCTTTTGTGCTTAGTCGCACCCAACGAAAAGTGGTCAGCGAGGCGGCCAAGTGAGGCTGCTCGGGTTGGGCTTGGGCTCGGGAACGGAAGCGTCCCCTCAGACGTTTTCTCCGAAGACCCCTTGGGCTTTCCGAAGCTCTGCAGAGCCTTCGGTGCAAAGATGTCCCATCCACCCACCCGCACTTAGGCCGAGATGAAGCCTTTGCCACTCCATTTCATTGGCGCTTCTTCCACGTAATCTACAGACCGGGGATCATGTTGTTGAAGTTGGAGGTTTAGGAGTTGAAGTTGTCAGCCAGAACCTCCGAGTGTTGACCGCCAAGACAGGATTTCCACTTGCTGCCTATGGGGTGAAGACAGCCAGATGGCAGCTACGCAGCCCTCCCCCCCAAAAAAAATGTACCAAAAACCCTCCCGGAAGAAGGAGGCTAAGGTGGGGGGGGGGGGGGGGGGGGGGGGGGGGGGGGGGGGGGGGGGGCAGTCAGCTCGGGGACTTGCCGCAGGTTGCTCTAGCAGCGACCTTCGCAGCCTGGGCATGGATCCTCTACATGTGGCCGTTCCTTGGTTGGTTTAGGAGATGCCTGCAAGCCCTCCGAGGTGTGGCCCTTCAGAGTAGTTGGCCCAAAGCTCGTGCTACCGTGGCTACCCACCTGCTTCCGGTGATGGATCCGGAAACCTCGAACCCCGAATCCCAAGTGATGCCCAGGCGCTGCTCTCGCCGGAGGCCGCTGCGTGAAAGGGTCCCGGTGTTAGGGATCCAGAAGCATTGGGCTCCCCTTGCTGCCGCCCAGTTACAAGTTACAAGTATCCAACTCAAAGCTCCCTACCCGAAGGAAGTGGACACCATGCACCCTTCAGAGCTCAAGGGGGATTTTTTCAGTTTGGGCTCCAACTTTGAAGTTCAGAGGGGCTCCATAGGTCCTCCTTGCTAAGGTGATCCAGGAGCTGGCCAGTGTGGGTCTTGGGTGACGGAGACCTCACAGTGTGCAACAATCAGATGTTCAGGGCTTTAGGTTTTACGGTGGGAGCTCTAAGCCCCCCCCCCTCCCCCTAGAAGTAGCTGTTAAGTTGGAAGCCCGCGATGCCAATCTCCTACACCGCCTAGTAGCCCGCTCCCATCGAGATGTCCTGAAGGCGTACGCTTTGCAAAAGGGAGAGAACTAAAAGTTTGAGGGAGGACTAGATTATGGGCCTGTAGGGTGTCATAGAGAAAAACAGCATTATCTCTGTCATCTTCCTGGATGGACTGTCGCGTACCCACGACTTGCGGGGCGATATAAACGGCCTCCGGGTCCAAGGCCGCATCCAATCTGGCATTACAATTGTTCAAGATTACGGTGCTCTACTAGGATGGAGTTAAGCTCCGTCCAAAAGTCGAGTTTGCGTCTACCTGGCTGGGAGCATATATGTTGAAGATAGATTTTTCGTGGGGAGACATTTAGGGTGAGCTCACAGATACGGGGTGAGTGGGGCTTAAAGTCCGTGACATGCGGTCGGAGCTTGGGAGAAACAAAGAACCCAACTCCATGGTGTTTAGATTGGCCCTTTTCTTTTTCAAACGTGGGGTCGCCTGCAGGGCCTACACCCAGGAGGCAGAACCCGAAATCGCCGAAGACAAGTCCTGGCCAATCGAACTTACCGTGGGATGTTCCCCCTTATACTAACCGTCCTTAACAGGGATCCGAATAGGGGGTATTTACTATACTCCCTATTAAGGGCCTTATACTAACAGTCCTTAACAGGGATCAGAATAGGGGGGTATGTACTATACTCCCTCTTAAGGGCTGGTAGTATAAGGGGGAACATACCGAAGTTTACGGCCGCGGGTCTGAGGTCAGGCCTTGGGCCGGAGCCCTGGTCAGCCCAGCGTTCAAGGCCGGGGATGAGGGTTTAGGGTTTAGGGTTTAGGGTTTCAGGGTTGAGGGGTCAGATGTCAGGATCTCAGTGAACCTTGTGATGATTCGTTCGCAAGGTTCAAAAATGGCTGATGAGTTCTGTTCCTTTGCAGGGGCCTGGGACAAGACCCTAAACCACGTCGAGACCTGCTGAGTGGTTCGTCCAGTTATGCTGGTGCCAAAATAACCCTAAACCTTAAACCCTAAACCCTAAACCCGAATCTAGGCGCAGGCGCCGGTGCGCCAAGAGCCGCGCGCAGCCCCGCGGGCAGCCCCCGGGAGGCGCCGAGGGAGTTCCATGCTTCGGGATTTTGGGGCTTTATGGCCCCCCCCCCCCCCACCCCAACTCTAAATATTCCCACTAGATATTCCCATTGTAAGTGGATCCTTCGGTATCTTGGGACTACGTCTGGGGTTAAGGGGGCGATTATCTGTCAGGAGAAAGGATTTGTTTAGTTTGGGCTCCTGCCTCAAGTCGCCAAGTTTGCCAGGAATCTCGACGGCCTCGGTCGCCTGGATCCCCGCCGCCACTCGTCCCCTCGGCGAGGCGACCGACTCAGGGCGCTACTAATGTATGAAGAGGAACCCATAAAGTTAGCAGATGCCATTTCCATTCTCGAATCATGCAACCGGCCCCCCCCCCCTCCCCCGCCCCTAGCACCCAAACCATAACAACCTATGCCTCGACCTCCAACTCTCCAAAAGACCAATACAGCATATGGTGCCGGTATTTGAACGCTACGGCATTCAAGTAAGGATATGTAACTCATTCATAAAGCCGATTTTCAAATACTCGCCTACCAAATACAACCACCATATGCCAACATTCTGCACAGCAAATGACAACCGACAGATGTTACGTCAGATGGTGGCACTCCGTGAAAATCAAGATGTAGCGGTTAAGGCATCCCCGGATTGCCACAAACGAGAAAGACGAAGCCACTGAATGTAAAATGATACACTCTTTACATGACCTTAGGAAATGCAGAGAGAAGGACGAATATACATTAACTTATGATAGTAACGATTTAACCCCCGTTTTTTGGCGAAAGCAAGATGGCAGGGTATGAACCACAAGTACGGTTTAGCCGGTGTATCGTATCCGATTTGTAGATTAAGAAGAAGAGCATAAGATACAGGATTCAAACCAACATCTAGTGACAAGTTCAGTGGATTGAACCATCGTAAAAAACGGAACAGCTTTGTAACAGTATGTCAAAGGCAATGTATGATATATATATTAATCCGTTACATAACAACCCTTAAGGAATGTCAGACAATCCGGCCAGTGGGAGGACTAAATAAATTCTACAAGAGATTCAACCCCAAAACCGAGAAATACGACAAATTCGGATCTATGCCCGAAACAACACACGCCTACAGCCAAATTACCGGAATCCCCGTCTTCAATCACTTTGACAGAATACGGATTGGGTCTAACATACAAGACAAGCGCATGAACCAGAAATCAACTGATCCATTCCGCACACGTACTGCTCCATCTCGATCCTGAAGCTGTGTCGGAGCAGAATGATGCGCACCACGTGCTTTTTTCGGAAATGCTGCGTACGAATCCCAATTTGGGATACCAGCGCAGTTGTTGGTTGCAGGCTGTGTCCCAAAGCCCCAATGACAAGCGTGAAGCCATGAACAGAGATCATCTCCAGAGTATGGGATTCGAGTGCCCTGTAACCCGAAGGCAGTAGCGGATTTGAATGCATTGCAGATGTCATGTTGTCGGCCAGTTTGCTTAAGTGAAAGGCAATTGTAAGGAATGAACCGCCACTTCTTTGCAGGCAAAGGATTGCAAGGCATAACACCACTGCGTGGCAAATACTATGCAAGTCCCATCTGCTACCTTCGACTAGTCATTAACGCCGCGTTCCCTTCCAGCTTGAACACAAGCGGCTGGGAAACACCGTGCATTGATTCCGCGCTGCTCCGGGGCTTCAGGACTTCATAGACTCATAGGCGTTTAGGGTCCAACGTGTTTGGCGCAATTTGCTGGCTTGGGAAAGCATATCTTCTATGCAAGTTCTTCACAAGGGCCAAGTATATAGAGTTTCCATGCCCCAGCGAGGCCCAGTGCTGGACATGTTCTAGCGCTTAGGGCTCAGGAGTTACTGCAGCTCGGCCCGAATGTCTTGTAATTCGCTCTTGCAGGCTTACCGGGGTTCGCCGGACGCCGTCGGCCCCGGGGCGCGCGCGGTGCCCCAGAACCAATGGAGGAACACTGGCAGCGTGGGTCTTTAGGACTTTAGGATAATAATATTATTATTTCAAATATTACACTTAATACTTTATATAATATTGCTTTTAATAAATCCTTTTTTAACTTTTGATATATATGGAGAATATATCATAGAATATTAATATGAAAAGAACAATGACAAATGTTTTACTTGTATCAAAGTATTTACATCGAACTCTTTTGATATATATGGAGAATATATCATAGAATATTAATATGAAAAGAACAATGACAAATGTTTTACTTGTATCAAAGATTCTTTGGGTTGGTGTTTAGGCTGAAGGGGCTTACATGGACGCTGTTCGCCGCGCTGTTCGCCGCGCTGTTCGCGCTGTTCATGCTGTTCGCGCTGCGCACGCTGTTCGCGCTGTTCACGCTGTTCGCGTTGCGCATTCTGTTCGCATCTTCGCGCTCTTCGCGTGGCGCTAGGGTGTTCACGATGTTCGCGCTTTTCGCACTGTTCGCGCTGTTCACGGTGTTCGCGCTGTTCGCGCTTTTCGCACTGTTCGTGCTGTTCGTGGTGTTCTCGCTGTTCGCGCTGTTCGCGGGGCGCTAGGGTGTCCATGAGTGGGCTCAAGGTTGGCAGAAAAGTCGCAAAATCACTTTCTTGGCGTATGGCGGGGGTGTAGACTGTCATATGAGAAAGAAGAGTCATGCTTATGCGCTTCATTTTTGAAACATGTTCACGCCCCAAGTTCCCAAAAGCACATGCAGTTGAACAACGCAGGCATAGGCATGCAGCGGCATGCACGAAACGGGCCAAGTCTCATTTATACAAAGAGCAGAGCTGCAGAACTCCCAAACCTTCTAAGTCATCCCAGATGACATCAACCCTGCGAAGTGGATTCGCCCCAGCTGTGCAGGAGGGAAGAAAATCAGATGCCCCTGGCAAGAAGACTTGACTTTAGCCCTCAAACAACCCCCCAAAAGCCCTGAACGCAGGCCGCGACCCGGGCCGGATACCAGACAGCGCCAACGTTGGCGTCAAAGGGCTCGTGCCTCGAAATCTTGAAAGCTACCCTTGTGGGGGCTCTCTGGTAAACGAAGGCACCGTGAGTGTTCAGAGGCTCGTACTTAGAAGCATGTTCAGAAAGAGAGGAGTTTATGGGATATCTGAATTCGGAATATACGGCGTAGGGCAGCTCGCGGCTCCTGCGGCTAGGGTTGTAGGGGAACCGGTCTGGATTGGCGGGTTTGGGGGTTGAGCAAAGGTTTTGAGAGGTTGAGGGCAGCTTCTACTCATGCCCTCCAAGCTAAGCCTAAACCAGAAAAGGATGGCTTTCACGCAGCCAGGTTTCGGGGGGACAAGTCAGGGTCGTGCGTGAAAACTGGCAGAACACGGTTTGGGGCCACAGGTGTATCTACGGTAACGAGAGTTGGTGATTATTTGGCCGCAATAAAGTGTAGCACAAAGGCTATGATGGTCCCGCGGATCCCTCCAAAAAAGCCTCTTTTCTCCCGCGATTAACTCCTAGAGACAGAGGTGAACAGGAATGGGGCTGGACAAGGAAAATTCGCCCCCTTCTTGGACTCGGACCCTTGAGCGATTAGCCGTTCACACCCTTTCACGCGCATGCATGGTTAACCGCTCTCTCCTTCAAAAACCCGCAAAGTTATAAGGCTTTCATGCATTCCTGATAAAGCCAATGAACATAGTACAAAGCATAGATATGGGGTCTTTCTGTCTTGTTCGCCCATCAACACCTTGAGACCCCAAAGCTTCCATGGCTTCCATGACTACTGCCCCCTCAGGGACTGGTCCTTTGCTCCATGCCTCCCCCATGATTACCTTTAAGCCCAGGCCGGCTGGCACAGGACAGAGCGCCAAGCGAATGGATCCGATAGGGGTTGTTTGAGGCGTTGGGCTGTGGCTTATGCTGGATAGACGTTTCGAGGGTTAGTCGCTGACAGGCAAGGGTTTCCCTGTCGGTTGCAAGGTCGGCCGACAGTCAGCGGATGAGAGACCAGACGGTGCGAGGCTAGACCAGGCCCAAGCCCTTCAATCCAAACTGGCAAATCCATACCAACCCGAACGGGCCAAAACTTGACAGGATGCGTTCAACCGATGTTTCATCATGTCCCCTTGAGCCCTGTGAGAAACCAACTTCAATAACACTGTAAGCCCACAGCCAAAGCCCGGAGGATTCGCCTCGGGTACCTGCCTTCGGGCCGCCCAGCGAGGCTTCCTCACCAGCGGGCTCACCAGGAGACTTGTGTATACCCTTGTTTGAGGTTGTTGGGCAGGTGCTCACCGCCCTTGTTTGAGACAAGGGCTTGCGCAGTAGAAAGGAGGGGTTTCTTTGGGTTTCGAGACTCGTGAACAAGACATGGTTGAGGCTTTCTTGGGTTGATCTACTGACCTCTGAGCATGTGCTGGCATTAAAGCGGCTGAAGCATGCCTTGCGAAGTTTGCACGCAGACCTCCGCACAGACAGATGTATGCGTAGAAGTCCGAGATTCCGCACAGGCCTCCAGCAGGCTCCCGTGCTGAAGCCCATGAAACCGAAGGAGCCTTGTCCCCGGAGACTCCGGCCGAGCCCGCGCTGGAGCCCACGCTGGAGCCCACGGCCTCCACGGCCGACTTGTCGGATCCCGTGGAGCCGGCTGTGCCCAAGGCAGAGGCGGTTGGGAGGGGGTGGTTGGTATGTTGGGCAAAGGGCAAAGGGCAAAATGAGTTGCTAAATGCACCTCTCAGAGTTTGTAGCTTTTAAACGTTTTTTTGTTGCAGACTCCGTGGTTGGTCGTGGGCCTCCTGAGCACCACCGCGGCCTGGCTTCGAGCCCAAACGCACAAACCCCCTGAATCCCCTAAGCAACACAGAAGCGACTCACGGAGAAGCTCGGAAACTCCTTGCCATGGCTTCTTGGTGCCTCCTCCTGCTAGCTGCTTCTGCTGCTTCTGCTGCGGCGCAGCTCTGCAAGGATCAGGGTTGCATCGCAGTTTTCAGGAGCGGTGCAGAGTGCCAGTGCTTCCCCGGCTGCGACGTCTACGAAGATTGTTGTTCAGACTACGCCACTGAGTGCTTCGACTCGAAGGGCCGCTTTCGAACGACTGTGACCGGAGATGAGTTCGCCTCGCAGAGCTCGACGACGTCGCATCACCCGCAGCTGCGCCACAAGTCCTGGTCTACCAGTTCATTGCGGAGCGCTTCTGCAAGCTGTGTGGACAGAGGCTGCAGCCAAGAGTTCGAGCCCGACCAGCCTTGTCAGTGCAACTCTGCTTGCGTGAACCACGACAGCTGTTGCCACGACTTTCTGAAGGTTTGTGGTGCGAAGATCTCTGCCGGCCATCCTGACGTCCCGGAAGGGTCTTGCAGGACATATGGTTGTGCGGACACCTACGTGGGGGGCCAGAGCTGCCAGTGCAATCCAGGCTGCACACTTCACAACAATTGCTGCCAGGATTATTCTGACGAATGCCCAAGCCAAAGTCAAGGCGCCCTGCACGGCGCGGGCTGCAAGAGCTATGGCTGTGGCCCCTTTGATGCGGCACAGAGCTGCCAGTGCAATGAAGTCTGCCTGAATCATGGAAACTGTTGCGAGGACTACCAGGCCACCTGTGCAGCCAACACGAAGGCCACAAGCGCCTCCTGCTCGTCTTACGGGTGCGGGCCCTTCTCTGTGCACCAGGCCTGTCAGTGCAATGCGGGGTGTTTGCAGCACAGGAACTGCTGCCCTGACTTTGAGGCGCAGTGCCTGAGCCAGAACCGGGTGCAAGGACGCAGCTCCTGTGCGGAGCTGGGCTGTGGTTCCTCGGGCCCTTTGTGCCAATGTAACGAAGGTTGCATGAAGAAAGGGGACTGCTGCGCGGACTACGAGGCAACCTGCCACTTACCGAAGCAGCCCTTAGGTAGCTGCGCCATTCTTGGCTGCATCACATTCAGACAGGGCAATGACTGTCAATGCAACGTAGGTTGCGAGAAACATGGCAACTGCTGCGTCGACTATTCTAGTTTTTGCGGCGTTCTTGAGGAATCGCATGGGACCATCCTGCAGTGAGGTGATGAAGACCTTGGAGCCCCTGATTGAAAGCATCAGGCCCTTGGTGGACCACCCATTGTGCAGCAATCCTCCCGGTGGCTCTTTCTCGGCTTCGTTTACCTGTTCCGATGCAATAGAGATAGTCCTTGGCTTGCCAACTTTTGCGGATGCAGCCGAAGATGCGAAATTCGAGAGTGGCGTCGAAATTCGTCGAGCGATGTACAGAGTTTCGTCTTGTTTCCTCCGTGCAGAGGCAGTCGACAAAGTCGACAGTCAAAGCAAGGCGGGGTTAGCTGAACTATTCCTTTCCATGACAAGTCGGGCCGCTGCGGCAAGCGGATTGGCAAAACTGCAAAGAAACCGAAAAAGAACATGCACAGCAGCGATTCCTCAACTCCTCGACCACCACCCAACTACCCCCGGAACCGAAGAATCATCGCACCCAACAGCGACCTCCCAAACCGAGCCTTGAAGCCCTGAGACCTTAACGCCCCCACCCCCCCACTCCCCACTCCCCCCCACCTCCCCAAACCCCCAAAATAAAGGCTCCGGGAATTGCGACCCCTGTTACCACGCCACGGCGGTCGAAAAGTTCCACCCCGGCGCCGCCCCGGCGACGCAAGGATGGGTGCGTGGTCGGGGCCTGCAATGATTTCGGTCTTCGGGTCTCTGCTTTTGGGGCTTGAGCTGTTTGAGGCAAGTTTGCATCGATCTTCGCACGCTGGCTTCAGTGGCCTCCTCTGCTTTGCGCAAGTGAGACGCGATCATTGATTTCCTCAGAAAATCAGCAGATTCTGGGGGAGTGGGAGGGGGGCGATACTTTCTCCCAATGGGATTTTAAATGTAGCATGCCTTCACAAACTATTGCGGCAAGCGAAGTCGCCGATGAACTTGCAACGAACCAATGCAGCCTGCACTCAGCCGCAGCCGCCCTAAATGACCGCAGGAGGAGGACAAGACGCCTTCCAGCACGGCAGGGGAGCTGTCGACAGGAGCGTTGATGCGGAGATGAACCACGGTTTGACCTTCCAAGCCCTATAAGAAAAAGAAGCAAGTCAACCCCCAAGTCCCTAGACCCGAGCCAAAGTAAGTAAGCAAGTAAGTAAGTAGGTAAGTAAGTTGTGTGTGTGTGTGTGTGTGTGTGTGTGTGTGTGTGTGTGTGTGTGTGTGTGTGTGTGTGTGTGTGTGTGTTTGTTTTTTGTTTTTGAGCAAGAAACGAATGTTCTGAAGGTATTGCGCCGAAGATCATCTTTGCGTTTCTTATTTGACTGAAACAATGCTTGCACATCGTGAACCTGGCGCAGGGACCAAGAAGATACTCTCGGAGAAGGCAGGCCATGGTTGTTGGCTTTTATAGGGCTTCGGATTCCCCACCCCTGTTCTCCACCCCCAAGAAGCACCCAACGCACAGGTTTCGCTTGGGTCCTTTGGGCTGGAGGCTTCACTCAAGCCTTGTGCTTCTCGGGTTTGAGGGCACGTGGCATCAAAGAGTATCTTGGTTTGATGGAGTCATCCCAGCTAAGCCAGACAGTAGATGTTTGAAGGGTTAGCTGCCGTATTCAGAAGGCATCGCGCAAATCGCACACCACGTGCTGCAGCCTAAATCCCAACTGCACGAACAGGCTCGCAGGGGACGCGGGTTTAGCTCGAGCTCAGTCCGACATCAATCCTGCACCCAAGTGTGCTTTCTGACCTTAAACCCTAAACCCTAAACCCTAAACCCCTAAGCTCCAAGCAACAACCTCACAGGATGCTGTATGCTTCGCGAAGCGCCTGACTGAGTGGGCGAAGGCCTGGGAGCCTAAAACCGAACCCCCCCCACCATATCAGCAGGATGCTTCAAGGGCTTTAAGAAAGGGCTCTGAGTCAGGGGCAATGATTTTTGAAAGAAGTCTCAAGTTCTACGGTACTGGCAAAGACCTAGACCCTCAGACCCAAAACCCTGACCCTGTAGACCTCGAATTGACCACCCGTCCTAAAGCGGGGCCATTGTGTTGATACGAAAAGTTTGAAAGACAGGGCTCAAAGGGTTTAGGGTAGCAATCTCTGCATGTGTGACTGAAGCATGCAGCACCAAGGGGTCGCGCCCCCTAAGGGGCCATATTTGCTTTTGCCTTGTTTGCCGGATCAGCTTGGGTATGTGTGGGATTTCGGGTTAAGGGTTTGTGGGGTTTGAAGATTGGGAAGTTTTGGTAGGGTTTAGTTGAGTTCATGGCCAAGATTTATGGCTTCACAAGCCTGAAGCTCTATAAACCTTGCACCCAAACATTCTCAGCTTGCTTGCTTTAGGCTTTGGCGGACTTGTTTCGACGTGTTACATGAATAGGCGAACGCTTTCCCCGGATGTGTTGCCCCGCAATGCGTCAGCTAGGCAGGTACTGTAGCAATAAGAAACCCTCCCAGACTTCCATGCCTCAATCGGAAAAGGATCGAGACAAGCGGCGGCAGGATTTGTCTGAGCAGGCGCGAAGCCAGGCCAGGTTTGGGGCCCAAATCTGTGGCTTTCGATTCGAGCCCAAGGCCCTAAAACCCCGAGACGTTCCATCATGTCGCCGATTTTGGACTGGACTTAGTGACAAGTGGCAGTTGTGAGCAATGTCTTGCGACTCATAGATGGTTGATACTGGAAACATTGACTCACAGATAGCCTTGACCATGGGACCACGGAACTTCGGACAGTTTTGGGAAGCTCGTGCGAGCCCACGGTGTCATAGACTCGGGTCGCTGAGGGTCTACATTTCCGATGCCCAGCGGTCTTGGCTTTACAGACAGTTCCGGGAGAAGCCTGCAAATGGGCCCCAGGCCGAGCAAGAACCCAACCCTGACCGTCAGACCACCCAGAAATCTTGACCGGACCGTACAACAGAACGAGTCCTAACACCCTAAAGTCCCTAAAGCGAAGAGCAAAAGTCAACACCCCAAAAAGCAAACCTGGCGCACGCCTCCGCAGCCGGGCTCGAGCTCCGGTGTCGATTCCCAAGCCTCTCCCACAGAAGCTGAATTTGCACATCTTTGCACATCTCAACTCACTTTTAAGTGACTTTGGACTACGAGCAGATAGAGTCTTCGGACTTGGGATCTAGGGTGCGACTTGCTAAGTTGAAAGGCCCTCAAGTTGGAGGCCGCTGTGCGTGTGCGGAGCCTTTGCTAGTGTTTAAGTTTCCCCAAGGCCGTGGACTACTTAACAGAAGCTTGTGGCAAGCTACTCTTTAAGGCGGAGGCCTGGAACCCTCGCCCCGCCGAGCCAAATTGCGAAAGTGGCATCTTTCGTGAGCATGTCGCGCCAGCTCGTCGTCCGTGCCGCCGACGGGCTGTGGCATCCGATCTCCATTCCCATTCCCTGCACCTTGGGTTGCTTAAAGAAGCCAATCTTAAGTCTTGCAGAAGCCTTTTCATACCGGAAGAACCGCAACCCTAAAGCCCTAAGACCCCGAAAACTCTAGAACCGTAAACCTTTTTAATTGCACTGAAGGTACCCAGCTGCTGCTCTTCAGCCCCTCTCTGGCAGTGTTGAGCGGCACGGCCTTCCCCCACGGCCTCCCCGGTGGCGTCACCCGGGTCTTCCCCCTCTCTGTCGCTGATCATCAGGAGGCCGAGGCCTGGCAGGCAGCTTGCCACCAGAGCCTTGGAGAGGGTTTCGGGTCTAGGGTTTGGGGTTTAGGGTTATTCTAGTTCGGAGAACAAGCGCGACACATCCAGGCGAGGATTCACGCAAGCCTGCAGCAAAAGGGTTATTCTAGTTACCAGTTCCAGCATCCGCCCCAATCATTTCGAGGGCCCTTGCAATCAATTCCAGGAACCTGGAGCAGCAGCTCGGCCGCACAGTGGATGGCTACGTCGGCCTCCGCCTCGAGCGGCCCTTGGGCAAGGCCCCGCTGGTGGTCCGGGAGCTTCCCGAGACCGTAGGCAGCAAAGTCTGGCGGGGTGCTTGGCTTCTCTGGAAGTCCCTGGTCGAGCTCCACGGCCTCCGGGCTGCTGTTGGAAGCCTACACATTGCAAGCTCACTGCAGAGGAAAAGGTTAGATGAACAGCCGCAAGTGCAACCTGTATGTGTGCACTTGCATATGTATTGATATCGATGTTTTTGCTCATTCCCCCGTGAAAGTCCCGAAATCCCACCAACTTTGTTATTGGCCACCCAGAAATCCACAACTCCAGAAGCTTGGGCTTTTGGGTTTTTGGGGTCCGGTGGGCCTTTGTTTGGGCTTTCGGAAGTTCAAAAGTTCAAGGATCCATAATTTTAACGCTACGCGACCCGCCTCGGCCCGGCCCAGCGCATCCGCGTGAGCATGGTGATTCCGCAGCGCCCAAGTCGCTGGACCCCAAGCAATAAGGGTTGGGTTGAGGGTTGAGGGTTGAGGGTTCCGGGTTTATGGTTTGGGGTTTGGGGTTGAGGGTTAGTTTAGGGCTCAAGGTTCACGCGTTGGGGTTGAGGGTTTTTTTGGGTTTAGGGTTCGGCTTGGAGTGATCGTAGGGTTGAGTTAGGTTCCTTAAGGTTTAAGGTGACTCTTTGGTAGGGTGGGGGAGAGGGGGGAGGTGTGGTGGGGGGCAGGGAAAAAAAGGGGGGGGGCGGGAAGGGGGGGGGTTGGGGGGGGGGGGAGGGGGGGGGGGGTGGGGGGTAGGGGGGGGGGGTAGGGGGGGTAGGGGGGGGGGGGGGGGGGGGGGGGGGGAACGGGTGTGGGGCCCTGCTGGGAGGGGCTTCGACTGCCTCTGGTCCTGGCGAACCGTCCGCTTGCGGACCCCGGTTTCCCAGGGGGGGTACCCATTTGAGGCCAAAAAAGGGGTCCGAAAAAGGGCGGGTGGGGGGAGGATTTGGAGGGGGGTGTACACCTCCGGCCTCGGCGGATTTCAAAAAATCCAGGACTGTTTGGGCTTCGAGACGTTATGCGGGGATATCTTGGACTGTTGGACCTTTTGAACTGTTGGGCACGGAATCTTGGACTGTTGTAGGTATTATCAGACTCTTATACCTGCAGTCCTTTACAACCTTTGAAACCTTCGTTTTTGGGTGCAGCTGCTGAAAGTGTCAAGGCCTGTGCGCTCCCCGGCTTATTGTGTGAGTAGTTGGCCGAACGACTTGGATATTGGCAATGTAACTTTCGAAGAAGCCAAAGCTCTGACTCTCCGTGTTTTGGGTTGTATGGCTATGGGCTTATGACTTTATGAAAATATTCTGGTTTTGCTATCAGGTTATCATACTCATGTTCTACTATGACTATCTGATCGAGAGGCAACAAGAATGCCTCGACCCGATGCCAGCAGACTCCATATGCATTCTCATTTGGCCCAATCGGGAGCGGCTCGCACTTATGCACGTTTTTGTTTCAGAAATCTGCCACATGATTGTATTTGTTTTCACTCAGGTAACTGATGCAAATCCGAAGTAGCTGTCCCTTACATGCAAGGTTGTCACTTGGAACCCAGACCAGGAGACATTTCTGCGACACCATCAACGTTTGAAAATGACTGCAGACCAAGGCATGGCATGAATTAGCGGCCCCTTTGAAGTCACGAAACCGGCCGCTGAGCCGACGTGTTTAATGTTCCACAGAAAACGGCAAATGCCCACTATATGATGAGCTATAACGTAGCCACATGATCTGTTAAGTTCAATTGGTGCAGAAAACACGAAGTAAGGTTTATGGCGTTAACTTCTGCGATGGAAAACATATTAACGTAATTCAGTGACATAGTTCGTCGATTTGAGACTCTAAATATGTTCGGCCCTCCTCATTTTCATCGGTCACATTACTCACATCCATGACTTAACGTCATGAACGCCCGCAATGCAATATTTAACTAGTTTTGTAGAATGTAACTTGGGGCTGGTTGTGTCCGTTGAGTTAAAATATCAACCGGCTTTGAACTTGTGTAAATCGTATCGTTCTAGTGTATGGATGGAAAATTGGAATTATATTCTTAATAAGTTTCTTAGCTGCCCCGACTCAAATACATGAACTGGCCTGGAATATTGGAAGAGAATGAAGGGCAGCTACTGGGACAACCGGTACACAAAATGAGTTTCGGCATTCGGGGCGAGCAGTTCAAGTACTTCGAACAACATAGTTGGAGGCCAATGTTATCTTTGAATGCGAAAGTACTGCTTAAATGGCCGGGAACGTTGGAAGAATTGAGGACAGCTAGTGGGACAGACGATGCACTAAACGAGCTTCCACATTCCAGGTAAAAACCACCTCGCAATAATGGTAGGTTGTATTGCTATGTGCAGCCCTAATTTTATAATGGCATATACAACGGCCGGTTAATGGTAAAGCCAATTTGTGTCATTTATCTGGCCTCCAAGTATGTCAAGTGTGCCTAACTTAGTATCAGGAAAACTCGTTCTTTTGCATCGTGCTTGCCGATGTTTTCAAGACATGCGCCGGGGGGGTTGGGGGCGGGGTGGGGGGGGGGGGGGGGGGTAGGGTGCGAGCATATATACACACTCATACATACATACATACATACATACATACATACATACATACATACATACATACATACATACATACATACATACATACACACATACGTACATACATACATACATACATACGTACATACACATATACACATAGACACATATACACATATACACATATGCACATATGCACATATACATATATATATATATATATATGAGCCCGCCGCCTTTAGGGTCTATTTAGCTTTGGGTTTTTCTTATTGCTTAAAAAGAGCGAATATAAATATCGTAATACAAAAATACATATTTACACCTACATATGGCACGCAAATCTCATGCCCAGCGGTTCTAGGCCTAGCCGCACGCCATTACGAACTGCGAATTTCTGGTTGTTCTTATTTTCATTTGTTTCTCTTTGCTATCTGTGTATGCGTGTTCTTTTTTCAGCCTGCGTGAAAAAGTCGCTGTTTGGCTGCGGCAGAAGGGAAAGAGAAGTGAGAGAGGAGAGACAACAAGGAGGCCATTTTAATTTTCTGGAAGGGTATTGATTGAAAAGAAGAGAAGAGACAAGAAACAAGGAGACGGATGGCACTCTTCTTTATCTATCATCTCTCCCTTCCTTGCCTCTCCCGTTTCCCTCTATAATTCAAAAGACAAGACCATTCTTGCTCTTCGCAGATCAGAGGAGAGATCAAAAGGAATGCAATTTTAATGGGAAGAGCAATGAAAAGAATGGAAGAGAAATGAAGACAGGAGAGGGAGGTGCAAAATCAGGCTAAGAGAAGATGGTGCTCGTTTTCATCTTTCTTCTCTTGCTCTTTTCCTTTTCAAATAAACAACAAAAGGAAGAACAATGAACATGCAAAGGAACCCGTTTTCTTTTTCCATTTGGGAACAAGGAAAGAACAGAGGCGATAAGGCGAGAGGAGGGATTTGCTGAAGCATGGGGAGGGTCTACGGACAAGGAGCCAACCCCGCTCACTTTCCCCATCCATTGAAACAGGAAAAGAAAGGAACAGGGCCTCCATTCCCCTCTTGTTCTTCCTTTCTTGTGTTTTTGTCACATCAAGGGGAACAGGAGAAGAGAAGGGAGAGAGAAGGAGAGAGGAGAGACAAAAAGGATTGCATTTGTACTGGGAAGAGCAAAGAAAAGAATAGAAGAGAGATGAATAAAGGAGAGGGAGAGACAAAATAAGGCGCAGAGAAGATGGCACTCTTCTTTATCTATCCTCTCCCCCTTATCTCTCCCTGCCCTCTTTCTTTTCGAAATAAGAAAACAAAAAGGAAGAACTATGAGAAGGAGAAGGGGACGGAAAGGAACAGAAGGGATAGGCCGATAGGAGGGGGTATGGCAAGGTCCACGCGCAAGGAGTCACCCTCTGCTTACCCTTCCACTGCCTTATCATACAAGTTCCTTTCTTGCGCTGTATCAGTTGAAAGGAAACAGAAGGAGAGAAGGGAAAGGGAAGTGAGAGAGGAGAGATGACAAGGATGGCATTTTTCTGGAAGCGCAACTGTACCGGAATGTGGCCACAATAAGCAGGCCAGGGAGACTCAGGCGGGGCAACTGTAGCGGAATGTGGCCACAACAAGCAGGCCAGGGAGGCTCAGGCGGGGCAAGTCTCTCCCTAATTAGAAAAAAACCAATCTTGCTCTTCGCAAATAGATAAGTGCCCTTCTTCCTCTTCAGGAAATCGCCTTTCCCTTATTTTGCTTTCTGAAGCGAATAAGAAAAAGAACAGATAAGAAGAAAGGACAGGGAATGACTAGGTAAAGAGAGGAGCTCTTCAATTTTGCATTACTTTTCCTTCTTGGGGGGTCCTTTTTTCTCCCTTGAAGATGCAGAAAACTCTCAAAAGGAACACCCGTTCCATCGCCCATTTACTCTTCCCTTCCTTATCTCCTATGCTCTTTTCCTTAGTCATTGCAACAGGAGAAGACAGGAAAAGGGCCTCCATTCCCCTCTTGTTCTTCCTTTCTTGTGTTTTTGTCATATAAAGGGGAACAGGAGAAGAGAAGGGAAAGAGAAGGAGAGAGGAGCGATGAAAGGAACACAATTTTAATGGGAAGAGCCAAGAAAAGAATGGAAGAGAGATGAATAAAGGAGAAGGAGAGACAAAACAAGTTGCAAAGAAGATGGCGCTCTTCTTAATCCATCCCCTCTCCCTTTTCTCTCCCTTCCCTTTTTCTTTTCGAAATAAGAAAAACTAAGCAGGAAGAATTATGAAAAGGAGAAGGGTAAGGAAAAGAGCAGAAGAGATAGGCCGAAAAGAGTGATATGATGAAGTATGGCAAGGTCCACACGCAAGGAGTCACCCTCTGCTTACCCTCCCACTGCCCTTATCATACAAGTTCCCTTCTTGTGGTTTATCAGCTAAACGGAAACAGAAGGAGAGAAGGGAAAGAGAAGTGAGAGAGGAGAGACAACAAGGATGCCATGTTAATTTTCTGGAAGGGTATTGAAAAGAAGAGAAAAGACAAGAAACAAGGGGACGGATGGCACTCTTCTGTATCTATCATCCTTGTCTTTCCCTTTTCC